ATTCGTTCAGAGACGAAGTTACAGAACACGACGTTATACTTTGCTTCCATCTCAAGATACAGATTGTCGCGCGTAAAAACGAGGATTATCGCAAGCGAACGTACCGATAGTTGGTAGGTTAGTATAGTTGACGAGTAATCGACCGTGCTCCATGCGCGAATCTCGAAAGATCGTCGCGCGTTCGAAGCGCAGTCTCGCGAGTACGTGTCTCGATCGCAGAAAATAATAATAATAATAATAATAATAATAAAAAAAAAGTAAAAAGAATAGTTTGCACGCGTATGTACGTACACATTGTTGCAGAAAAGAAAAGAAAAGAAAAGAAGAAAAAAGGAAAAGGAAAAAGAAGGAAGAAGAAGAAGATCGCAACAAAAAAATATAGTTGAAAATATATATATATTATATATATTATTAACCATGTTATACTTGGGACTCTCGAGTAATGTTTATCGAAGAAAATGTTACGTCGTTGTGCGGAGCCGTGCCTGTGTATCGTAGCCCGCCATGTTCCACGAGAAAGCAGCGGTTCAACGTTACGTTACGAGTTAAAACGTTCTATAAATAACTGTAAATAAGTTGAAACACGAGAAAGTATGAGGCAGTGTCTGGCAGAAGGGAGGAGGAGGAGGAGGAGACAATCCGAGCTCACCGAGATAAGAATCGACGATAAAGGTCGAGGAATAAAATGGGGGGAGGGGAGAGGGGGAGTGAGAGGGAGTGGGAGAAAAAAAGGAAGAGAAATTAATTTTTTCTTTTTTTCCCCTCGTTCGAAACGCGTCAACGTGACGGAACTGAATAAATAAACGATACTCGAAGAGGAGAGTAGCGGTATCGAAACCGAAACATCACATTTCGTTTGGTGACTCCCCGTAGGTTCTTGCCATTTAATTCGTCCTCACGAGTGATGTCCTCCTTCGTTCGCCTAGAGAGAGAGAAAAAAAGAAAAAAAGAAAAAAAGAAAGAAAGAAAGAAAGAAAGAAAAAATATGGAAAATATGCGAATCGACGAAGGAAGATCAGATCGGCGGGGACGACGACAAGCAGTCAATTATCACGGGAAGAAAAAAATCGTTATACGTGTAATTACGACAATACCGTGCCACGAGAGGATCCACGATAAAAAAGAAAAGAAAAGAAAAGAAATGAAAAAAAAAAATGTCGTTTATCGTCGTTCCTCGGCGTCGCGAAAATTTCCTTTCCTACTTCTTTTCCTTCGTCTACTTCTTTTCCACTGTTCTTGATGATGCAAGATCGAGAAGATCAGTCTGGATCAGTCGTTGCAACGATCTCCCTCTTCCTTTATCCTCCGATGGATGGACGGAACGAAGGTCGAGGGATTATTTTTTTTTTTTTTCTTTCTTTCATCATAAAAACCGCTACATGCTGCTAGTCAAAATTACGATACGCGTATACTCGAACGAACGGAGAATTCTGAGGCAAGATACAGATCTCGAATCGCAAGAATCGCACAGAAGAGAACAATCGATCCGAAGATTTTTCTTCTCGATCATCTCCTCTAGTTTTTTTCCTCGATGTCGTTCCCCGTGGCCGAGTTACTCGGACAGCGAGGCGCGATTATTTCTCCCGCGACTCTTTTTATCGTATGTTTCAATTTCTTTTCGTACAAGTGGAAAGCCGACTAACAGAGTAACATTAATTTAACACCAGTCATTATTATAATATAATTATTAATTATTATTACTTATTTACGCTCTATCATTACGTACATTCACGCAATAATTGTATTGCCGCAATATACCGGTAAAATACCGGTAATATGCTCTTATAGTTGTAAACGATAATAAATCATATTCGCAGCGTAATCCCGAATAATCCCGATCCTCTTTCGATTTCAGCAGAAGAGCGTTATTTATATTTGAAACAGAGGAAAGGAATGAGCTTTGACCCACTTTTTTCTCCATTTCTTGTTTCCTGATAGAACATGCTCGTTATTACTTTTCTTAAATACTTCAGCGATGAAAAAGTAGAATGATCGCGTGAACGGGTGAAAATTGATGCGAAATGCAGTAAAAACTTTACTTAGTTTCCACGTTCAACTTGTAAATATCGTGGATGTAAAATTACTCGAGAATGAAAGTGAAAACCAGTTCCCCCCCCCCCCAAAAAAAAAAACGAGAGAAAAAAAATAGCCCGATTCCATTCCGTAACCTCGTATTTTCCATTCGAAGAGAAACATTGAAGAGGGATTAAACAAGGTAAGTAAGAGAATTACCGACTCCTCCGATTACCGTTAACAAATTAGAATGGAATGGAGCTGCGTCGCAAATAAAAATGTTGGAATATTTCCTCTCGACCGGATTCCTCTCGATCGATTGAATCGAGATTCGTTCGACGCGTTCGACCGATAAACCACTTCGACTTCGAACGAATTCGAAAAAAATAATAAAATATCATCATCGAGAGAATGAATTACGAAAGAATTAGAACTATAAATCGTACGTAGATATTTTTTAATCACAAAGGGTAGATCAGAGTAGAATTTACTTATTCCACTAACCTCAGGACCTTGTTCTATCCACCATCACCACAGGCTATAAATGTTCCCACGAGGTATTGAATACCACGCACAGAAATCCCGTAAGTCAAGCCCGTGGGGCAGGTCCAGTGAAATTGTCGTTTTTCGCGTACGAGCAGCGGAGTCGGAAAGACTGGTTCGCACCACGGGATTAGTCAACGAGAAGACGCCGTGACGATCGTACATCCCGGGCCTGATTCAGGCCGACCATGGCTCAGGTCGACTTGAAGTCGATTTTCCGCCTTGTGTTCGGTTTATCGGTGATCATCATTGCCACCGCTCGGCCACAGCGCGCCAATTTCGAATTTTTGCCCGTGGGGGAGTACAATTGCTCGTCCTTGAATAAGAACGATTGGCCCTTCGATAAGGAGAATCGTGAAGCAAGGTTGGAGGAATATTATTCTCTTCTTGACTGAATTTCGTATTTCGACAATAGATCTTTTTTTTTTTCTTTTTTGTAATTTTGAATTCAACGGTGACGTTCATATCAGATTTCGCGGTGATCGATCGATCGTGAATCGTAATTTTTGAATATACTTCTCTCTCGTTGGAATTTAAAGATAATTGGATTTCCAGTGATTAAGATAAAGTCACCGTTAGGAGGTTTTGAAGAAGAAAAAAAAAGGAAAGAAAAGAATGGTGGATTTTGTTTTAGATTTACGGTAGAGGATCTTATCGTGTACAACGAGCCGAAGAACGTCAATTTAACAATCGATAATGAAATCAGAGGATTTTCTTTCTCGAACATCGTCGATTCTGTATTTTCCGTGATGGCTAACGGGCTCGATTCCATCGTGACTAGTATCATCGGCACGGAGAAAAGTGCCAAGCCCAAACCCAACAGAGTGAATTACAAAAATTATCAATTGATCAGATTGTTCCCTAGTTCCCAAGGACACGTGAACGAGTTAAAGGAGTTGAAGGAGGCCGAAACTGAGGATATTAAATTCTGGAGCGAACCGATGTACAACAAGTGTGTTTTGTGCACTTTTTCCTTCCTCTTTCTAATTCAATTTCTAATACAATTTTAATTCTATGGATTCTGTGAATCATTTCTCTATAATCGTTATTCTAGAACAACCGACGTGGTCGTCGCTCCAGATCTCGTCTCCGAATTGAAAATGTTCCTTAGAGATAAAGGAATCGATTTCAAAGTTTTGATAACGAATATTCAGGTACGAGATTCAGATATCAGAGAAAAAAAAAAAAGAAAAGAAAAGAAAATGAAAAGACCGATATCGAAGATAAGTCGATTAATTTTTACGGCAAATCATTTAATTGCTTGTTTCGATTTTTATTGCGATAGAAAACGATAGCGAGTCAAAATCCGAAAATGTCGAAGGAACAACGCGATGATCTCGTCTCGAGCCAGGGACACAGCATGACTTGGAAACGATATCATCGATATGGAGGTATGACAACTATTCAAACTTGGAAATTTTGTTATTTTCGATATTTATAGACATCATCCCCCCTTCCATCCATGTATCCACTTTCGAAATTATATGTTGTGGAAATCTTGGTGAATGTTCATCTCGACAAAACGAAGTTTGCCACCATAACTCTTTCCCATTGAACTTTTCTAATAAAGGAAACTTTCAGCGCAAATCTGATCCCCTGGTTCCAAGTAGCCCCTCCACCGTTCTCAATTCTCCTCTTACCATTCCTGCCTTCCTCCTAACCGTATCCCAACCTATCTCTCCCCACTACTCCCCACTCTACAGGATAATAATATTCCTGTTAGATGAATATTACAAGACTTCTCGAGCATTGCGCTTTATAACGTTTAAATTTATAACCAAAGTATAAATAATGTACAAAATCTTTATCAACATTTTTCTTTTTTCTTTCTTTTTTTTTTTTTCCTCTCAGAGATCGTCAAGTACATGGAGTATCTAACTCTAAAGTATCCTAAACTAGTCGAAGTGATAACGATAGGTCACAGTTACGAGGGTCAACCCATTAAAATGGTGAAAATTTCGAACGGGCGAAACAAAAAGAATGGATCCAAATCGGCTGTCTGGATAGACGCTGGTGAGTTTCGATTCTTAAATTTATTTACATCGAAAAGAAAAGAAAAAAAAGAAGTGAAACGTGAAAAATTATACAGACATGAGTGCGTGTTCAGGCATGGTTCAAATTTTCTTCGAATCGTAGCGCATTGATCTTTGACAACACGAAAGCGGTTTCTTTATTATTATTCTCGTTGGCACTCCGTGGATTTATGTTCAAACGACGATATTGTGTATTGCGCATAATAAACGTGGAAATCCTTCCGCGAGACTGCACGCACGAGGCAATTTCTAGCCTGGAATTCATTTCTTTTTAAAAGAAATGATCGTTTCCTGCGTACGATTAAAATTCCAAGGTCAGGAAGATAGGATGTTGGGTTCGGTGATGAGAGAAGGATACTATTCTTTTCGCGATTCGTCGATAAATACTAGGAAAACTAAGCGCGGTATATTTATTTTTCAATAACACATAGAGATAATTGATAAAACGTTTTTTAATACTCGTGCAAGCCAGTTTAAAATTGCATCAGAAATTTATATCTAAAGATTTTAATTGTAAGTAAGTAAACATACTGTAAACACCGAGTACGAATCGATTCTACCTCGAGAAACAGTTATTCCTGTATGAATAAGTCAGTCTCTCAACAGCGTACTCTTAACGCGTAGTTTCGTAGCTCTTTCGAATTATCCCGTTTCGATCGACCAACCAAATGTTGTACAGGAACGGTAATAAATTGCCGGAAGGTATTACTGTATGCAAATGAAGTAAATAGAAAAACTTTCCTCTTCGTGGAATTAATTCAATTTAAACTTGAATTTTATGACGATATAATTAAATATCGAAATATCAAATTTCTCGAATTTATCAATTTTTTTTTTTTCAACGTAAAGAGATTTTCTTGAAGAAAGTTGTGCACGAATTATAATATCTAGTTTAGTTCCTTTAATCGTTGTTAAAGGAATGAAATTTTTCTCAAGAAGAAGTTTCGAGGAGGCAGAATTTTTCGAACGCTCGTCGCGTTCCATTTCGATCCCGTCCCGTTACTCCGTATTTTTCTCGAATTGTCCTCGCATTCGGTAGGTATGCACGCGCGCGAATGGATCGGTTCCGCTGTGGCGACCTACATCATCAGCCAGTTAGTCGAGAAGAACACGAGCTACGCTAAATTGCTGGAGAATTCAGACTGGATGATCTTACCTGTCGCGAATCCGGACGGCTACGAGTACAGTCACACGAGTGACAGATTGTGGAGAAAGACGAGGAGCAATCACGAGGAGAATCAAGACGACAGTCGGTACGATCGTGTCATTTTATTTTTTTTTTTTTTTTTTTTTAGAAAATGATTCCAACGCTTCTTTGGTTGAGTAAACAGTGACAAGAATGAATATATAATAAACGCTTTCTGTGACATAGATACTCAGATTATAGCTTCCTTCAACTGTTGACCCATTACACGAAGTGGTTGTGGGGTAAGTGCGAGGGCGTCGATCCGAACAGGAATTTTGGATACCATTGGGGCGAGGTGAAAGAGGGTGGGGCCAGTCTGGACCCTTGCCACGAAACTTACGCCGGTCCACGAGCCTTCTCCGAACCGGAAACCAAGGCGATGGCCGATTACATTTTGGCCAATAAAAAGGACATCAGGTATGGATCGTGGTGTAGAAAACTTCAAATTCGCATTTGATTTCTGGTACGGAAAATCTGGGATGATGGATATGAAAATGAAATTTTTCAAGGGTTTATCTGACGTTGCACTCTTATTCGCAAATGTGGCTCGTACCGTGGGGATACACGTATTCGAAACCGTCCGATTATTCGGAATTGATGAACGTGGCTAAGAAAGGAATAGGGGCGATCTCGAAGATACACGGGACCGATTATCAACTCGGCCCATCAGCCGATTTGTTATATCCAACCTCAGGTACGGTCACGCGATTAATTACACAGATAATAGAGGCGGAAATTAACGATTCTTATCAATGCTGTTTCGATAATTAAAAATTAAATTCTCGCGTTCATTTACGTGTTCTCTCGCAATGTTCGTTTCGTAACAAATAATTAAACTGATAATGAATTGTTGATTATTAACGCTCGATGGGATTATATATAAAGAAATATTTTTAGAAGTGTCAAGTAATAACGTGAAGTGTTCTTTTTTTTTTTTTTTAATTGTACGAGCAATTGAAATCAAGAATAACGCAATCTTTTTGGATTTTCGTTTACGTTTTACGTCAAATTTGTGCAAAAATATTAAATACTTGAATTTAATTATATCGTTACGATATAAAAATTTTTGCAAATTTAGAACGCGAGAAAAAAGAACAATCAATGAAAATACGATAACTTCGAAATTTTGCAATTTTACGACGAAAATAATGAAAATCTTATCGATTCGCTTGCTAAAATTCTTACTGGATAGAAAAATTGAAAAATATTTATGATATATTTGAAATTTTAGGTGCTTCCGACGACTGGGCCAAAGGTGTAGCCGGTATAAAATACGCTTACACGTTGGAACTTCGAGATCGAGGAACATACGGATTCTTGCTTCCAGCATCGCAAATCGTGCCCACTGCTCGTGAAATTTGGGCAGGGATAAGAACGATCGCTCGTTTAGTAACTTGCTGAGATCCGCGAATAGCACTGATCTCTGATTTACTGAGAACTGAAATAAGTTTCATCGTTTTTCGTGTTTATAAAGAAGTGTTTAGAAAGTTTTTTAATAGCGAAATGTCTGAAAAAATCTGTATGGGATGATAACATTGCTGATGATCATTGATTTAAATCGAAGATAATTTTTTTTTTTCTTAGCAGCAATTATCGAATATGTGGAAATTGTTTTTTGAGGGAATTTAAATGTAAGAAAAAATTAATAGCGGAATTTTTATATTTATTTTAAACACGATCGCGTATGATTTAAATCGCGATGACATTGTAAATATTGTAAATTATTCATAGAGATAATCTAATCTAATAAACGTATCCAAGGTTGATTAATTTAAATGATTTGCAAATGCTGTAACGTAACGAAATGTAATGAATTTTTAAAAATTGTGATTCATCATTGTGACATAAACGGGTTGAAAACATTTCATTGCAGTAAATACTTACTTACTTACTTACGATATATTAGGATTTATGTTATTATAAATAATTATGATTTCATTAATTTAATATATCTACAAGAGTTTTAAAAATTTAATCAATAACAATCGAGATATTCGAATTCAATCGTTGAAGCCTTAATTAAAGCAATAATAATTGAGAATTATTAATTATTAAAGAATACATTTGATTCGATGGAAATCTTGGTATCGGTCGATAATCAATATTGTTCAATTTTTCAAAGATGAACATTTTATTTTAATATAAATATCTGACGCAAAAGTAATATGGAGTGGATCCCTTATCGATATATAATTTCGAATTATCATGAGATATCGAGTTACAATATCCTATATAAATCGTAATTTCCATTAGACTTTTCAAATTGTATAGACAATCGTGTAACAATGCTCATCAAGTGTCTGTTGGCCGCTATCCTCGTAATCCAGGGTAAGAGAATAATCTTATTTTAACCCTATTAAATATTTCTATATTTTTAATAAATCTCAAACAAGATTCAATGTTACCGAGGTATCAAAAATATTTTTGACAAAAATGTCAACGAACGTTGTCTTACAGCCTGTTTGGCCAACCCTTTGGAGCCTCGTATCACGGATGGGATCGCCGCTGCTCGTGGTGAATTCCCATACCAAGTTTCTGTCCAATGGGGAATCCCACCCCTAACTCAATACAGCCACTCATGCGGTGGATCCATACTGAACGAGAGATACATTCTGACCGCTGGACACTGTGTCATGAAAATTGGAAAGTCTAGAGTCATTGCCGGCAAATACGAGCTGAACAAGGATGAATCTTCTCAACAAGTCGTTAACGTGGCGAAGAGCATCGTTCACAAAGGGTACAAAGGGTGAGGCAAAATTTATTTCATCTTGCAAGAATTATTCTAATCTTGTATCTAAGATAAGATCAATTTAAAATTTGACGATTCAGTTTGTTGAAATGAAAAGAAAGAAAGAAAGAAAGAAAGAAAGAAAAATGGTATATTGATGGAATCTTTAAAAAAAATAAAATAGAAATCATAAATATTATTAAAATTGAAATTAATAATATTGTTAAAATGGTGTATCAAACGTTCTTCGTTCGTCGTTTCTTCATCGATCAAGAAAGATGATACGTAATCTCGTCTCGACAATTCTTCTATTCTCGAAATAAATGAGACGAGATAAGAAGAGAGACGAGCGGCGATCTTTCTTAATTGTTTACTTATAATAAAATCGGTACTCACTCGTGCTCCACTAATATAATTTTCTTTATTTCACTTTAGTGGCGTTGCGCAACACGACATCGCTCTTCTCGTCCTGAGCTCCCCCTTGAAATTCAACAACCTGGTACAACCCATTACCCTGCCCAAACAAGGAGAGAAACAAACTGGACAGGCCGTTCTCTCTGGATGGGGATCAATCTCTAAAACAGCAAAACCAACCTTACCAAACGTCCTTCAAAAGGCTAATGTACCTATCCTGGACAACGCTGAATGCCTGAAAGAACTCACTTCCCAACACGTTGTTGGAAACCAACCTGAATTGTTCGACACTCAAGTTTGCAGTGGTATCGCTGGTAAAGAGGTGTCTGCCTGTTCCGTAAGTACTTAAGTTAATTTACTTCGAATTACTAAATGATTGTACTATTTTTTTTTTTTTTATTAAAATTTGACCTTTTTTTTTTCTGAGATGAAATTAAACTTGAAAGATTCGAAGAGGAAGTTAAAGATTTGTCGGAATAAGAAATCGATGCATTCGTTTTGTTTTCCAGGGTGACTCTGGCGGCCCACTCGCTCAAAAAGTTGGTAAAAAATCTGTACAAGTTGGTATCGTTTCATGGGGTATGATGCCCTGTGGATCGTCCCACATGCCCTCTGTATATACTCGTGTCGCCTCCTACGTGGACTGGATCCATGAAAATATGTCTTAAGCTTGTTTCGATTGTGATCGATTCGACAAAGTTTGTTTGTGAAGTTTTTCTTAATAATGAATAAAAAAAAAAAGAAAAGAAAAGAAAAGAAAAAAATATTTAAAAAAAAAATCTCCAAAATAAAATTATTGAAATTTTTCGAATAAAATAATAAAAAAATAAAAATAGAATTAGAATTTTTCGAATAAAATATAATAGAAACGATTTCAACGTACGTTTTCATTCACCTTACCTTTGTTTGTATTTTAATTCGATAAAGTAATCGGTAAATTACAATTCAAAAGATTAAAAATTAATCGATGTAGATAAATCGATAAGATTGATTAAAGTGCAAGAGAAAACAAAGATAAATGAGATAAATTTCTTGTTTTAAAAGTTTCATTCCCTATTTTTTATTGAAATACAATGATTCGTAAAAATGTTGATAGAAAATCTTTCTGAATATAATAACGTTCGCGAAAGGAAGAAACAATATTTAAAAACCTAAATACGTCACCAATATTGATAACCTTAATTCCGAAAAAGTGAAAAAAGTAGAACGATTCGAGTACGGGCATTTTTAAATTCCTTTGTTGCACAATTCTAAGAAGAAACATTCTGTTACGTACGAAACTGATAAAAGAAGCGCACCATCGATTCTATCTAATAAATACGAAATAGATCACCTGTATGACTATGGAATCTTTGTAATCTTATGCTTATCAACAACTCTTTCATGAATTAAAGCGTATTTTTTTCGATATTCCCCGATATCGATAACGCACGATCTATATAAACTCTGCCCAGAATGGAACACCTCAAAATTATCAAAATGTCTCTCAAACTGATTATTTATATTGCCTTTCTACTGGCGATCGCCTCTGGTAAGTGAAATTTTAACACAACGCAAGATCATCAACATAAAAGATCAAATATCATTTCTCATTTCGTCGATCGCATTTTGTCCGATCTAATTATTCTATTCTGTTGGTCTACAGCAAAACCCTACCGTGGCTTCAGAATACCGTTATTCGACTCTCGCATAGTCGGAGGGAACGAGGCTAAACTATACCAATACCCGTGGCAAGTCTCTTTGCAATGGGGATGGCTGTTCGGTAACTCTCACTTCTGCGGTGGTTCCATTTTATCCGACCGATGGATAATCACGGCTGGACACTGTGTCCTGGCTGTTCCGGACTACGGTGATTTCGTAGTCAAAGCCGGAAAGCACGATTTGAAAGCAAAAGAAGTCGGCGAGCAAACTATCGCGGTCGAGAAAACGTTCGTGCACGAAAACTACACAGGGTAATTGAAACATCGTTTGAATTTTAAAATTCAAATTATTAATCATTATTCGTCAACCACTTTTCCAGATTCTTTCCAACGTATCGTTCTTTTATTAATTTCAGAGACGTTGCTCCCTACGATATCGCGTTACTGAAACTGGCGAGTCCTTTGAAATTGACTGCTATGGTTCAACCGATTAGGCTTCCAAGTGTTCCATCGAGCACACCGACTGGAAAAGCGACTTTGACTGGTTGGGGATCGACATCGAAAACCAATAATCCCATAATGCCCACCAAACTTCAAACCGTCGATTTGCCGCTAATCGATCTGGCAGCTTGCAAAAAAGCCATAGAAAAACTTACTGGTCCATCACCTTTGCACGAAACTAACATTTGCACTGGACCGCTCACCGGTGGTTTCTCCGCGTGTAGCGTAAGTATTTCCTATAACCTTGATTATTTGCGATATTTTTCCTTAATTGAATTTAATTACGAATTAATCTCAATCGCGAATAAAGGGCGATTCCGGCGGCCCACTGGCACATAACGCGACCGGAAGAGCTGAACTCATTGGAATCGTTTCTTGGGGAATCATTCCATGTGGAACGGTCGGTGCACCGTCTGTATACACCAAGACGTCTTCCTTCGTCACCTGGATTGGAAACATCATGGCAAAGAATTAAATAACTTGATTCTTCGTAACCTTGTAATTAAAGTGTTCTGACACATACGATAAAAATATAAATGTACGAGTGATAATTGCGAATTGTGCAAAATATAAAGAATCGTTACAATTAATTAAACACCTTCTCTGATATCTATTCTTGATACGAGAAATAAAAAATTTTTCCAAGCGTTACATTCAACGAGTCGTTAATGGGTAAAAAAAGAAAAAAAAGAAAAGAAAAGAAAAGAAAAAAAAGAGTTCGTCGAGGTACGAGAACTAGTTGAAATTCTAGTTGTACTAAGTTGTGCGAGGAAGGAAGGAATGATTCCAGTTCCTCTTCGATATCGCTCTTCCGCGATTGCTTTCGCCTTCTAGAGACTCTCGGCATTCGATCTCGAGTCCTCGCTGATGAAACAGTTCCACGAAATGGCGAATAATCGCATACACGGAAAATTATTAATAATAATTGTTGGCGTGACAAGTCTGGGGTGGTGTACACAAGTTGACGGTGAGAGGAGGAAAAAATTTTCGTTCAATTTTATCGCGTTTATCCCATTCAACTGCTAATCTAAAAAGTTAAATTACAAAACGATAGATAGATAGATAGATAGATAGAGTGTCGGATTAATCTTATCATCCCGTTAGAGGCGATCTCGAGCATAGCTATGTTGGCGCAGAGACCAACGAGGATCGTCGGAGGGAAGGACGCGCAGAAAGGGATACACCCTTGGCAGGTGTCGGTGCAGTGGGGCGATCCAACGAGAAAAATTCCAACGAAGCATATTTGCGGCGGTAGTTTAATAACAGCGGGATGGATATTGACAGCTGGCCATTGCAAAACTCTGTCACCACGTACGGGAGAATTTCGAATACTCGCTGGCAAGTACAAATTGAAAATGATCGAGGAGACCGAACAGGAGAGGTTGGTGAACAGGGTGTTTGTTCATCCACGATACAAAGGGTGAGATTTTATTTTTTTTTTTTTTATTATCCACACGTAATTACAATTCTTCGAAATTCTGCTCAATTCAGGCGTGTAGGGCCGTATGACATTGCGTTGATGCAAGTGGAACGACCGTTCGAGTTGAATCTTTTCGTTTCCACCGTTTCCTTGCCGTATCCCGACACCATTCCCGTCGGGGATGCTATGCTGACTGGATGGGGTAGCATTGGAAGGAGCCACGCTCACGAATCGCCAGAGAACCTTCAAGCAGCCATACTCCCGATCATCAATTACCAATTGTGCAACAAGATGATTACGAAAAGTTTAAAACCGAAAGAGAAGAATCCTCTGCATCCGACGAACGTCTGCACCGGTCCTTTGGACGGCAGTTTGGCAGCTTGCAAAGTATGATAATAAAAAAAAGAAAAAGAAAAAGTTTGATCGATCCCCCTTCTATCTAATCTTTTCTAATTCGAAGATATCGAATTTTCAGGGCGATTCGGGTGGGCCTTTAGTGACGAAGAACGGTTTCGGTGAAGCGGAGGTGGTGGGAATAGTTTCGTGGGGTTTGTTCCTTGCGGAAGGAAAAACGCGCCTTCAGTCTACACGAGAGTTTCCGCCTTCATCACGTGGATCGCCATAATCATGTTAAATTATTCGTGATCGATCACGAATACGGAATAAGAATTACCTCAACGATCATTGTTAACGCTTGTTTGTTTTTTTTTTTTATTCAATAAATAATTCCCTTTTTGGCTCATCTTATTTCCTGTACACATATAGCATATAATAATTACAATTTACAGATATACGTGTCGTGTATAATAATATAGCTATTATCATTTATACAACTTACGCTACGTAATTTAACGAGTTACAATGATTTGCAAGCTTCCGTGACGACCATAACCGCGGCCAACGCTTCCTTGGCCGTTGGCACAATGTAACGAGCGGGTAGAACGAAACCGTACTTGCCGGTATCTCTTAATTCGATCGTGTACGTGTATTTCATCTTCAGGATGGCCTTCGCCCAGTCGTCAGAGCCACCGGAAGCTGCGTACAGTGTTGTGGCGCTGTTCCCAACCGTGTAAGCGCTTTTTGCCCCGTCCGCCTTCTTCATTGCCGTGGACACTTGCCTGCCAACCCTGTCGAGATCCGCGTAATCAGGCGGTACGCGTTTGTCGTAGCCCCAAGGGTACAGGATGTATTGGCCGTAACTATGGAACGTCAGATACGCCTGGATACAAACGGTGAGCAATTTATCCTCGAAACATGTATTTAAGATATATAATCATGGTGGAATGTGGTGGAAATTCTCACTTTGAAGTTAGCGGCGCTAGCCTCGAAGAAATATCGGATGGCGTTGGTCTCCGGTTCAGAGAACGGGCCGGAGCCCCCGTAAATCTCCCGGCAAGGATCTTTGCTGGTTCCCAGGCCACCCCATCGATAGCCGAAGTTCCGGTTAAGATCGACACCGGTGCAAAGGCTGCCCACCGAACGTTTCCTGTTTTTTCTCCATAAACGGTCTTTCGTAAACGTGTACTCGTACCTGCCAATGGGGGAAGGAAGAAACGAGAGTAAGTTTTTTCCGTACGTACGACGTACAAGTATATGATATGCTTCGATTTACCCATCGGGATTCACAACAGGGAGAATATAATAATCAGCCTCGAGTGTCTCGCTGTTTTCAACCAAGTGATTGATAACGTAAGTGACCGAGGCCGGAGAAATCCATTCACGCGCGTGAATACCTCCGTCGATCCACAATGCCGGGGAATTTGATTTTCCATTGCTTATTCTTATAACCTATTTTTCTCTCTCTCTCTCTTTTTATATCGTTCAATAAAAATACATCCCCTCCCCCCTCTTTTTTTTATCGTACGTACCTTGAGAGGCCTTCCTTCCACGGAATGGCCAATCGTGACGACGGAACAAACGTCGGGGAAAGTATCAGCCAGGTAATCGAGGTATCCGTGAATGTCCTCGAGTCGGTGGTAACTGGTCCATTCCATTCGATGACCTGACGGGTATACCTTCAAGATTATCCAGAGGTTGCACGTCCGGTGTCCTTGGACGACACGTGAAAAATATTCCGCTCCGTGGATTCAGAGACGTGGATCGATTTTGTCCGATCGATTTTTTTTGCTCGATAAATTGATTAATAAATTCAATGTGAAGGGGATAAGATGAGAATTATTCTGAATCAACGAAGCGGGTTATGCGCCTCAAGAGCCTCACCCCTAAATTGCCAAGAGCCACCGACACCGTACACGCTAGTTACAGGATAACGAAGAGGACGAGGACGTGAATATTTACTTGGCCTGATCGCGACTCTCTGCCACCAAGCGTAACGAGCTAGAAAATTACTAAAAAGCTCAGTATTCAATGGTGTATTCTGTGTGGCCTCGGTTAGTACAAGCTTGTCGTGGAAATTTGGAAATATTTCATCATCAGAAATTGCGTATTATAAAATTATTTAAAAATATCTTCGACTGATATTGAACAGAGGAAATTTTTTTTTTACCTCGATGATTAGTTAGTCGGATCGATACGATATTTTGCAAATTAATAAAAACGTAATAAGTAAAATGAATTTTTCGATTCGGAAGCAAGTTGTATAATCATAATTCGATTCGGTAAAATTATCGGTATCGAGAAATATCGTTGGAATTATCTGTCGAGATTTTCGATGGTGATTTTTTTAACGCATGGTGATCCATTTCGAAGACTGTTTCAAGACTGTATAATAAGACTCAAGAGTTCTCGTTTTCGCTAACTTTCGAACCGGGCCAATTGCCAATGCGCATCTCGACGAGTCTGGGAACAGAAGTAACGGTACCACGATCGAAACAACAAAATCGAAAACGTCTTTGGTCGAATTGCAGACGCGCGCACACACGGTAAACGTACATAACTGTTAATGTTAATCAACATTGTCGACGTATCGAAACTAGGTTAACGGGTTAAATCGCGACGAGGGCAACAACCTGATAAACTTTCCATCGAAAACAGCAAGTGTTTTTTTCCTTTTTGATGACGCTTAAAAAAAAAAATCTCTTTACGAAATTCAAAAGAAAAATGTAGTCAAAAAGTGAATGTTTGGAATCAAGAACACGAGGATATTAAAATGTCGTTGAATTAATTTTAAATTTTCAAATTATTCACGCGTTTTATTCAGAACGAATATAACGATGGTTCGTCTCGATAAAATAAAACTTATCGAAATCACTTTCGAATATACCGATGACTATGTATGAATGACGTTCTCGCGGCTTTCTTCGCCGCGTGACTCGAATACACGATAATTTCTTTAAGCGAGCGATCGTCAAACGTCGTCATTCGTGTCAGTGGAACAAATAAAATAACAAGCGAAACATCGTTTCGTTTGATCGTGATCTTGATGAGTGAAATCGGTCGTAAAAGCGTCGCGATTGCCGCTAAATAAATGGCGATGATTTTTGGATAAATGAAGAGAAAGAAGAAGAAATATCAAGCAAGGAAGGAAAGCGATGATGGAATTGCGATGATCAATGAAATTGAATCGGTTGGTGCAAACCTTTACGGCCTTGAAGTTCCTCCACCTCTTGCTCGGAAAGCGATGGATTTTCCTCGTCTATCGCTTTCTGCAAATCCTCGATCACTATTCGATAGTTCAGATCTTTTTGTTTCAAGTAACGAGACACTCTTGCAATTTCTTCTGAACGAATCATTACATCGACTGCTGTGTCGTTGCCAGCCCATAATGACAATACTGTACAAAGAATAGAAATAAAAATAAGAGAATTATTTTTATCCTTGATCCTCGCACATTCTATCTTATTTCGTGTAAATTAATTTTTTTTTTTCCCCAGAAAAGTTCCATTCACTTTCAAACTTTTCTCTCGCGATTAAAAATTAAACTCGATTTAATTAAACGATTCTCCCTGAACGGACGAAAAATTTACGAACATCCAGCTTCCTGGAAATCCATGGTGACGTTCGACACTACGTCCTTGTGCCCTTCCACCCTCCAAACCTGCGCACCGTCGTAAGTTACTTTTTCATCCCTCACTCTGACCGCTCTTTGAATCGTCTTCGAGTTTTCCGCTGCAGGTTCGTCCACGATCTCGATCCAGTCGGGGATCACGAATTCTCGTTTCTGACGATCGACCACCGCCGCCTCGGCAACCAGGGCAACGGCAAAAAGAAGGGAAAACGCGATGAAGCGTGCATTATGCGATCGACCGGTCCTCTCCATCGCGTACAACTGTCCTTGGATCGACAATAGTCCCTGCTTTTATAATATTCGAGCCGGTCGACGATCGGGAGTAACGGGACTTAACGACCTCGCCTCGATCCTTCTCGATCGTGGATCGTTTCGAGGATCTTTGAACCCACGAAAAATTGAAATATATTTCCATGAAATTCGATCGATATTTATAATCTACTGTTATCATTGTGCATCCAAAATTTTTATCGATCAGATATTATCCGATGAGATCTTCTTTCTTGACCCGTTCCGAAATCACGAGTTGCTCGCGAGAGTTTTAAAAATTGAAAATTAAAAATATGAAACGAAAAATTTAACGATTAGAAAATATGATGATATGCTGGATATAATTAATTTTTATTAATATTCAATGACGTTTATTGTTGCAAATATTTTATACTGATGTTAACTGATGTTAACAATACATTCATCGTTACTTCGCCGCACGAATTTAAAAGCGGTATCAACGTGGTTTCAATCAAGGAATATTCCGCGCAAGCGTCCTCGTGCTCGTTCGGTCATCGAGCGGTGGTGCTTCTGATCGCATTTAAGTGTGGGTTGAATTATGAAGCTGGAACTATCAGAGAACACGGCTCATTCCAAACGTAATCGTAAAGTCATGAAGATTCTGTTGGCGATAACCTGCCTGATCGGATTGGTCGCAACTTTCGAGGTATCGTTTCGAATTTAACGTTGGAAATATCACTGATACAATTGCGTCTCTCCGCGTGCCGTTATCTGAAAGCCATTAAAAGAAAATCGTCGCGAGATTTTTTTTTAATGTTATTTGATGATAAAGAATGAATAAGAGAAAATAAGAAAAGGACGAAGATTGGAATTTGGAGGTATATAATTTCTTTAACGATTTCTTTAAGGAAATTCCATTTTTGAGATAGCAGAAGAATTGGAAGAAGATCGAAAAGTAATATGATACGACGACAAAGTGATTAAAAAATCGTTAAAAATATTAAGTGATAATATATTCTGATGAAATTCTGAGGAACGAATCGCTCGATTACGAAAGAATAAAAGTGGATCGAAGTACATGCTCGTTTTGTGCTTTTGTGGACTACATAAGGTTTCCCTCATCTGCTTAATACTTATACACGTTCGATTCTCGACAATTCTTGGCGCAGAACGTTAGCGAACAGAATAGCGTGAAACCTGACTCGCGTGAAAGTCGTGAAAAAATTGGAAATATTATCGTAATGAGAATTACTCACGAGTGAAATTATTGCATCGTGCCCTCTATTCACGATTTACCACCGTTCACAATTTTTAAGATTTAGACGTTACGATCAAGCAAACAATACTTACGATCAATTTTTTTTCATTCTCTCTTACTAACCTGCCGAATTTTATTCCAGAAAAACAATCTCACTGTGATCGATCAGGTGTATCTCGACATTATGATAGACGATCATCCAGTGGGAAGAATCGTCATAGGGTTATTCAGTGATATCGTACCTAAAACTACGAAGAATTTTCTCACCTTGGCCACTACAGGGATTGGGGGGAAAACTTATAAGCATAGCACGTTTCATCGGGTGATTAAGAAATTTATGATACAAGGTAATACAAATAGAATTGTTTTACAAACAAAAAAGTAGAAGCGTTTGCGTTAATTTTCGTACCTTTCAGGTGGAGATATAGAGAATGGAGACGGGACTGGATCGATTAGCATCTATGGAAAAACGTTTGACGACGAGAATTTCGAGATTGGTCACAATGCACCCATGTACGTGAGTATGGCGAATGCAGGAAAGAATACGAATGGATGTCAATTCTTTATTACGACTATTCCTACACCCTGGTTAGACGGAAAGCATACTGTGTTTGGAAAGGTAAAGAGAAAACATTCTTTATCGAGGATGAAGAAATTTTTATTTTATTTTATTTTCTTGTAGGTGATCGAAGGGCAGGATGTAGTTTTTAAGATCGAGCAGACGAAAACGGATGCTGATGATGTGCCGATTAAACGCGTGGTTATCTTCGAATGTGGTTCCATACCTACCCCGTCTCCGTTTAAAGTGGATGATAATATTTATAAGTAAATCGATTAATTTTTTTTACAAAGTATCGCAGTAGAAGAATCGTAGTATTTTAAGTAATTATTAGTTGTAATTTTTTAATTTTTTTTAGAAATGTAAAAATTTAAGGTATATATATATATGTATATATGAGCTTCATCGTAAATCGTAGTATTTGATTATTGATCTTGTAGAGAAAAGAATGCAGTAGAAAAGGACATAGTATAAAAAGTAGAAGGTATGTAATTGATCTATAAAAAAAAATATGAATTTAAAATGTATTAAAACTAAATCGTAATTTCAAATAAGAACAAGTTTTAATCGATTAATGAATTATAACAAATATTTATCTCTTGATTTCCAGTATCTGGGCATGGATAAAAGCAACATCTATACCATTAGGTTTCAGCTTCTCGGTCCTGGCTGTGTTTCATTATATGATGAAGAAATTAGATGTGTAATTATAATACACGTTGCATAAATTTACTTCAAGAACAAAAATTTCAGAAGGATTCAAAAAATTATGGCTGTAATGGATACGGGAAATAATGAGAGAAACTGCATTTCGTAATTTTATAGTTAGTGAAAGGCAAAGAGAGAAAACCAAAAGGACGAATTATTATTTCGAAATAACTTTTAAAAGTTCTAAGTCGTAATTTAAGACACGAACGACGAGAATCGTGAATTAATTCTAAGAAAATACATTTCCCTTCTTTTTGAATATTTCGTCCATTCATGAATATCAAGACGCTGTCGCCATCTGATAGCGAATCGATTGTACTAATCCATTGAATTTGCAAGGAACTTTCAAACACCTACTCCTATGATTTAACATTCGTTATTTAAAATCTTCATCATTATTATTGAATCCTGTTAACATAGAAGCTCAAAAAATAACAGGAGCAGAGCTATGCTACGATTCTAAATTCATCTCCATTCTTTTTTTCATAATTTTTCATCCTTATTTGAAACCTCCTCCACAATTCTACCATCCTGTTAACTTGCGAACAAATAACAGGAGCAGAGGTAAGTTATAAGTTAAAATTGGTATTCTAACTAGAATATCTTTCTCGTCGTATATGATACCTCTACCATTGTTCTGCATTTCTGTTAATATCGGATAAAAATGACAGTAACTGGATAAATCGAATTGGTGGTCAGAACAGAATTTATCCTCCTCGTCTAAAACCTCCATTGCACTTCTACGTTCCTAATAATTCACGCGATTTTTAGTTGAATTCCATATTCAGAGAAGATAATAAGCGTGTTTTATACTTTATTGTTACTTCTCTTGCCTGACTTGTGAATGGATGACATATTAGGAGGATAAAATGGAACAAGGAATTGGGGGAAAAAGATTCATATCTTGCGTTATTTATTTTTTTAAAATTTATATTTTCATTTCATCCAATCAAAAATTCTAATTGACATTCACAAAGATATTCAAACTTCAAATTCTGAATTCTGAGGAGTACAAAAATCAATCTTTGAACCTGAAATAAATTAATCCCAAACCAAGCCTTCAATAATAAGATAAAAATCTAAATTATTAATACTTATTTATCTAATTATCATTCGATCTAATTAACATCATCATTACAAAATTATCATCTTCACATACAACAAATAAATCAGAATGATTAAAAAAAGATGTATTATTTTATTAAAGAAAAAAGAAAAAGAAGAAAACAATCCCGAAACATGGATGCAAAGATGATTCCTCCATCACGTAACGACTCTCCGAATAGTCCGCTACTGTATACAGGAAATGACGCAAAAGATATACGCAGGCGCGGACATTCTACGCCAGAGACGGGCGTAGAACGATGGTTCAGTGTGTGTTGAGCCGGCGTTGATCGCCGTTCGTCGTTCGGGGCGTATCGGTGTAATCGTGATACGTGCGGATGAGTCACGATTCCTCCTCAAAAGAAAAAGAAAAAAAAAAGAAAAACGCCTCGTGGGCGTTGGTGAATCGTTCCACTCGAAAAATCACGCGACGTGTATTTAAGTCGAACGTTAAATATAACGTTGAGCGAGGGGAAAATCAAGCGAGTGTGTGACAACGTGAGATTTGACAGCGTGTTGAAGCCGGGAGGCGTATGTTGCTCTCCTGGAAGTTCGATCGACGTGAACACAATCGGGAGAAGAATTGTCGTGAGGGATGGTTTGAGACACCGGTGGAGTGGTTTCATTCAAGGTGAGCGTGTTCCTCTTCCATCTGTCTCTCTCTCTTTCGACCCTTTTGTGCGCCGATTCCAGTCAGCTGATTATGCCTCGGTGTGGTTGGTAGTTGGTTTATACGCGTGTGTTTGTTTCGTATACGTATACGTTATTCTTGGGAATAAGCGATGATGGTACGTTCAACCCAAGTTGGACGGTTGGTTAAAGGAAAAAAATACATGGATGTGGGCGTGTGATTGATAGAATGAATGAATAGAGTGAATTTTTGGTGCATGGTATATGTATATGGTAAGACGATAAATTTGAAGTATGATATAACGAGAAATTTTTATCTTAGGTGGAAGAATAGAAGACAGATGGAATTGTTATTAGCGTTTTATTATTTAATAAAAGGATGAAGAATAAAAATACATCAACGAGAAATAGAGATGACCTGTGAAAGATGATCGATCGACACACGTGTGCTGATTCAGTTGCTGTTTATTAGATTTAATAATAATCTTCGAAAATAAATTAAAGATTGAACGTCGTTGATTTATTCGCGTAATTTTTACAATGCGGAACTTGGCTCGTCGGCAGGAAACGCTCGTAAAACGGTTGACATTTTGCTCATTTACGATTTGGCAAAGGTAAAGAAACGTCGTAAATCGAAGCAAATTTTCGAAACGAAATTCGACCGTTGTTTATTGCGACTCACTATTGGAAGATTGCCGGTATAAAAACAAATACATGGATTCTCGAAATTTAGGGGGGGCCGTCTTTTGTGTATCTGCGATAAGAGTGAATCATGTTCGTTACGTCGTGTCTCCTCTTTGCGTATATATATATGTCGACGATAATACAATACATTATCGTCTCGCCGTATGAAGGTGTTTACAACGCCGTATTTCGTCGTAGATAACTGACCTGTTTTAAATTAATATTAGAAAAGTATTGTTTAAAATATTAGAAATATACAATCAGTATTCAAATAACGCGATATCGTGTTTTATATTATTCAAATTTTTGTGTTACAATAATACTATATCTCATTGCCAAGAAAATATGTTACTATCGAAGCAAAAATTTAGATTATCGTTAAGAAAATTTTATTAATTAATTCACTTGTAATAATCGTTCGTAGGAAGATAGGAGGAGAACGAGATAGGAGTGTAAATTCGTTTCTATATATAAATTTAAAACGGAATAGGATTAATTGGTGCAATAACACGGATTTTGATAAAACGTTTAAATGCAGAAAGAGCATTATCGTCGCTTATCGAAGCATCAGGGAACTCAACACGAATTATATTCATCCTGAAAGCGTAACGAGGGATGTGCACACTCCCTTAATCAACTCCTTGTTGCGTGCGGCACGCACGTACCCAAGATGTGCACGCAATGCGCACGTTTCTTCCTAAAATTGATATATCCGAGAAAATTTAATGGAATATAAGAGCGGGAATCAAAGCGTGAGCTTTTTCAAAGGTAATTATTCCTAAAAGACCTCTTGTACCGTGTTTCGTGATTACTATTTTTCTTCTTTTTCTTCTTTTTTTTTTCTTTTTTTTTTTGTATTCCCCGAGTAGAAATTTAACGATCGTTAATACGTGTTTTCCATTAATTAAATAGAGACGAGAATGAGAAAGTAAGAATAGTTTTCTCGTCTTTGTCTCTTTATCACGTTGAAAAGTTAATGAATGCCTCCATAAAAGAAAGACGATAACTGTCACGTGTTTTCATTCAGGAACGAGCCAGCCCTGTTCTGTGCAACGAAATGTTGGACGTTTTCTATAAAAGTTGAATTAGTTTCCCATTCTCTTCAACTTTTCGAGCTAAAATTAAACTCGGGATTCTACGATACCTCCGTCATCGGCATTGATTCCACGGAAAATACGGCGAATATTAATCGAACGACCGATGTTAATTGCGAACTTGTCCGCTTTATATCAGTCATACATGTATATACAGTTCCGTTTAACGACAAGTTTAGACAATATAAATTATAAAAATATTCTTTTCACCGGAGTTTAAATAAAGGAAATCATATCATTCAATCTCGAACCGCGTTGAATCACGAATCGCATTATCTGTTTGTCTGTTTGCATTGAAAATCAATAAGATAATCGTGATCGAAGTAATAGATATTCTATAAAGTAATAGATATTCTGTGAAAATATGAAACGCATTTTTCATCGGATGTTTGATTAATATTCGCGCAAGATATACTTCTTTCTTTCTTGTGTACATATACATATTATAATACGAGTATATCGACCAAGTTGACGAAATGAAAGTAATCCGCAAGTGCAGCTGTAATTTAATTCGCGTAATGTTTCTCAAACCGGTTTAGACTATGAATAAGACGTTTCATTTTAAGTTGATTAAAATGCAGCTTCTCATGCTGACTCGCTTAAGTAACATAAATGCACTTAATGCAAAGTAGTGTGATTCCTTTCAAAATAAAATTTCTCCTAGACTTCGAGATTTCACGATGGAGATATATTTTCTTTCTATTCAACTTGATTAAAATTGAGATAATAGAATATTTTCAAAAAAACCTTGAATTTTTTTTCCTCGTGATTTCTCTGTTTCATAATTTAAATAATACTTGTCCTTTTTCACGTTTTTACGTTATTTAATTGAGAGATTGACAAATCTGTTGCAGAGGATTAGCAAAATTTCACCAGGTTTGGAGCATGCCAATTATCGTTGCCAGTTCTATAGTATTTACACAACCTGTCGTTCTAAACACGTAGGTATATCATCGATCGCGTATCCTATCGAAACTTCGATATTTATAAAAACCAGGACGTTGTTCTCATCTTTTTTTTTTTCTTCTTTAAGTCACGCGACTTAAGGTGACGATGATCTTTGATGAAAACAAAAAAAAAAAAAATAATCGTTGCACAAATTGTACAGTATAATTGCATCGTGCTCTTCGTAATTCACCGCGAAAGAATTTGAATTTTTCTTGACGAAGATTCAGGAAATTCCTAGCATATCACAATTTTATTTCATTATTTTTATTGATTAATTTAATCATTCTGAGAATTTGTTTTTTCTTTCAATCGTCGGATAATAATAAGATATTATTTTTCAATTATTATACAAGCGATTCGTAACACGATTCAATATACGTATGAAATGATATTGTATGTCAATGATATAACATAGATGACAATGACAAATTTTGACGGTATATATAATTACGGTCAATAATATTCCTTCCATCTTTTCATCCTTCGAGGAAAGAGCGTTTTAAGGATCGCTTTATAATATATTAAATTCTTCATGTAGGTCAGATGATAAAATCTTGTGCACAAAAAAAGAAAAAAAAATTTTGCGTTGTATACATTTATTGAAGGACTTGACGAAGAGGCGATCCATAGTTTGAGATAAATGCAAATGAACAGTCTAGTCGAGATGTTCAGTGTCAGCACTATTGATATAAAACTCGAGACAAGTTGAATCTTCTTTTTCTTATATTTCACAACGTTCCTACTTCTTTTGATATATAATTCCGCATTAGTAATGGATGATGCGTAAAAAAGTGATCTAAAAACAAATTAAGGACGCACCATATAATTTCCAACTCCATATAATTTCTTGCTAATTAAATTAGGCGTGCCAGTTTTTTTATCGAAAAACCTGCTCGAAGCATTTTTCTTTCTCGGAACCATTTGATAATTTCAAGCTTTTTCTATTTTCATTTTCATCGATCGTGAATGAACATGCGAATATTTCTTACCGAAATATTTGCTCAACGAGTACGAGTACACGAAAATCGAAACGATTTCTAAAGAGAATCTTGCGGTCTTTCTTCTTTCTTCTTCTTCTTCTTCTTCTTCTTTTCCATTTTATTTATATGGAATAGTGCACAGAGGCATTTAAATTTTTTTTTTTGAAGAAAAGATTCGATAAAAAAATGTGATATTGACGATCGTCGAAAAAGCGCGGAACGGAAACATGGATTGATTTTCGGTGGTGAAACCGAAGACCTGACACCATCAATGAAATCTTAGACGGAAGCAGGAAATGGGCGCAGATGGTGTACACGTCACACTCCAAAGACATCGACTACATATTAGGATGCTATTAAATGCTTGGCACGATCGCAAACAATTTTTTCAATTACATCTTGTTAATGCCATTTTGCAAATAAATATCGCATAGGTTAAAGTACAAATTTATATTTGATCTAATCGAATATATTTTCATCGGTACGGAGAATTTAATCAAACAAAGCGAATAAAGAATGCACCCCCGTTTAGATACTATTATATACTTCGATCGGATCAAATTGATCGAACCTCGTTCTGTCAACGAGACAAATTTCTGTTAATTTGACAATTCGTGGGAAGAAATGTCAGAGGATCATCGTCGTGGCACGATTTTTCGTGAAAAATTTGCGAATACGAGAAGGATGTAGCGAGAGGGGGGTGGTTAAATTAAATGCGGAGCGTAAATTTGGACGGGTCGGTTGTAAAAACGAAGGCCGGGTGTAGGAACGTTGGTGCCGCGGTCTCATGGCAAAACGAGGTTAAAGGTATCCGACTGCGGCAGTGTCGTATCGATTCCAGTCGAGCTGACATTGCCGCCGTGAAATCTCGAGATGTTGACAACGTACACGGTGGATTGTTTTACGCGCAACTTTTCTCTCTCTCTGTGTTTCAGGGTGAAAGGGCACACGAGCAGATCGAGGCATGTCCAAGTATTGGCTGAACGTGGCCCTCATCAGGGTCGTGTTGCCGCTCGTCTTCACCGGATGTGAGTAAAATTAAAGTTAAACTTCTCTTCCGAAAATTTTTTAATCGAAATGTTTTATATAATAATTTCGTCGATATATATATATATATATGAAAAAATGATTCGACGATTAAACGTTTAGATTTGGAATATTAAAATTTTAATATTGGAACAGATAAGAATGTATATAAATTATGCGTTTCATTTCTATTGATAAGCTTCGAGGAAATCTTACGTCATATTGCGATAGGATCGTGAATTATTAGAATTATTAGGGAAATTGGGAAATTATCAGGGACATTGTTGAAAAAATTATTTCTTCTCTTTCGTTTTAAAAATTAAGAGTTTAAAAAAAAAAAATTCAAATTTCAACGTAGAAAATTAGTAGGTTTTGAAAGTACAATCTAAATTTTGAAGATTCAAAATTTTTATATAAAATATGTAAAGGAAACACGTGGATGATGTCATAGTGTTAAAATAGCTATGATTTGTACTCGAGTACTGACCTTAGATCTAAACTATGTCGATTCTTGAAAGCGAATGAATCGTGTGAAACTGCAAACAAGGCATAGTATAATCGAAGGCAAAATCTAGAAATAGACGAGTAAGCAATGGAGAATCCGAGAAATTTATTCTTTTCCTTTTATTCCTTCTCAATTATTCTCATTTCAATGTGTCATCGTTGTTTATAACACCTACACGAAAAGAAAAAAAAAAAAAATAATCATCGTAACAAAATTAACAAAATTACGTGTTATAATTCAATATATGCTATAAAAATCGTAATATATAAATTTATTATCGAATATATTGAATCAAAAAGTTTTCGTTATATTGACCGTTCCATTAGCCAGTTTAATACCAGTTATTAATTATCAGGGTGTTATCAACGCGCCACATGTTAGATCATTCCAGAGCGCATAACAGTACGTCATAAATAACATTGTCGCCATTGGTTGCCTCATTTTCATCACCAGATAATAAAATATCTTCTAAATAACCTACCTACCTCGTCAATTAATATTTTGTTATTGATTGTTATTGATTTCGAGAAAACAATAAATCAGATTAGTTGTACGCACGTATCCGTCATACACACTTCAAAAATATAAATATCGTCGTTTCCAGAGTGATGATAAAGTAAAAAAAAAAAAAAAAAAACGAAGCATTTTTGAAATATATTAGTTGGAAATTCGAGAGACGTGTGTATATACGTGGTATAAATCCGGGGAAGCCCCTCAGAATTCCATTGTAATAGGGTCGAGGCACGGTTCAGTCCCGGTTTATAATTAGGTTAAAGAATTTTATTCGATCGAGAACGTTATCGTTCGAACGAAGTTGTCGTTATTTATCGTTTAAATTACATGAGAATATTTCTCGAAGCAAGAGGTAACGAGATCGCGAGCAATCGCGAGTCAAAGAACTTTATTTAGGGGAAAGGATGTTCTAATTCGTCCAACCTTTTTATCGTTGATGATAATTTCGAGAGGCTATTTCGATCTTTCGACCTCGATAGTCTAGACTAAAAAATAAAAATAAAATTACGACGTTGAATGTTATCTGTGAAACTACGATGCGCACAAGCTGGCACGAGTAATTAGTCGACTCGTAGTTTTTATAATTAACGATGTCCCGTTAAAATACACACGAATTACAGTCACGTGATCACAGAGAATGAAAAATATGTATACGGTTCGAATTAGAGTGATGATAAAGTAAAAAAAAAAAAAAAAAACGAGCATTTTTGAAATATATTAGTTGGAAATTCGAGAGACGTGTGTATATACGTGGTATAAATCCGGGGAAGCCCCTCAGAATTCCATTGTAATAGGGTCGAGGCACGGTTCAGTCCCGGTTTATAATTAGGTTAAAGAATTTTATTCGATCGAGAACGTTATCGTTCGAACGAAGTTGTCGTTATTTATCGTTTAAATTACATGAGAATATTTCTCGAAGCAAGAGGTAACGAGATCGCGAGCAATCGCGAGTCAAAGAACTTTATTTAGGGGAAAGGATGTTCTAATTCGTCCAACCTTTTTATCGTTGATGATAATTTCGAGAGGCTATTTCGATCTTTCGACCTCGATAGTCTAGACTAAAAAATAAAAATAAAATTACGACGTTGAATGTTATCTGTGAAACTACGATGCGCACAAGCTGGCACGAGTAATTAGTCGACTCGTAGTTTTATAATTAACGATGTCCCGTTAAAATACACACGAATTACAGTCACGTGATCACAGAGAATGAAAAATATGTATACGGTTCGAATAGTTTTTTTTTNTTTTTTTTTTTTTTTTAANAATTCGCAATTAACTCGTCTATCTTTAATTTCGATCATCTCGATCTACGAAACGAGATACGTGGACGACGAAATGCGAGGGAAACGGAAGCGCAAAACGTTGGAGAATAATGAAGTAACTCGTAACAGTGCTGGAACACGGAGAGAATAACTCGAGTTTGCTTGGCAGCCGGTCAAACTTTTCGTTTGTGAGCAGAGTGAAGAGAAAATAGTAAGCAGAATGCATGCCGCGAATAGAAAGCGCTCATAGAGAGGACTGGAACGAAATGGAATGAGTTTCGAGCACGATTTCGACGAGATTTTTTCCTTTGAAGAAACAGAGCGCGCTCGCCAGAAAACGCGAGCATCCTGTGCGAAGACTTTCCTGTGCGAAGAAATTAATTACGTTTCACGCTTGCTAACGATTCCAAAGTGAATCAACGTTCCGAATCCTGGTGCTTTTCCGATTTAATTATAGACACGTGTGTTCCATTCCACGGAACGCATGATACGTTCCGTATATAGAAATTCTTGGAGTGTAATGACACGTGGACGATAATGTACTGTATTAGAAAATGTGAATTGTTGAATTTTCATTCGGACATATATCAGGGAGTAAAATGTCAGTCGTTGTATATGCTTTCATCTCTTCCCTCGGTTGAAATTGACCTTTCCTTCCACCCTATTTCTTCTCGTGCCAGTGAAATGAACAGCATCTCTGCTACGTGGCGAATATCGTTTAGAAAATGTCGTGAAATACGAAAGAATACGTTTCGCATTCTGGTTTGACATAATAATGGGTAAAACGTGGATACGGATCGTCATTAAAGAGTTTAATATTAAAAATTTATGCAACTGTTTGATTAAACAGGTGCGGTATGGAGGCCTGTAGGATTGTCACTAGTTTATTTGGCTCTGATGCTATATTCGCCCCACGTGCCAATACCGGACGCAAAAACAATGGCCGGCCACACGGGCCACTATTTAAAAACTTGCATCGGCCTGTCTTTTCTCACAACAACCAGCCAAATCACTTTCCACATAGTTTTATTGGCCCTGCCCAGTTACGGACACTTCCTTCACAATTGTACGTAAGGAAAGTTTGAAAGGGAGGAGAACGTTTGCCAATTTTTAAATACACTTTGGAATAAAAAAAAAAAAAGAAGAAAAAGAAAAAATAATAATAATTGCCTCTTCTGTGATGAATAATTTCTAGGCGAACCTATGGAAGTGATCTTCAGACACTTAGGTTTCGTAAGGCTAGATGGCGCGACCGAGTGGGAGATATTCTTCTGGTTGACACCGGAATTAATCGTCTTACCTACTAGTATAATAATATATTTCATATGTCGTTTCCTATCGCAAAAAACGATCACTGAAGAAGGCGATGCCTCGTTGCATCAAAACGTCGAGGCCTCGAAGAAAATTGTGGACGCAAATATTAAGGTATCGTTCAATTTCTTTTTTTTTTTATACGAAATACAACATTGATATAATTTTTTCGCGTCTCGCCCAGACTTTGAAAACAATAACACATGAAACAATAATTAATAATTCGGTTAGAGAATTGGAGCTAACGCAATTTTCCGTGCTCAGATCATCAACTTCTTAGGACGCATAGGAACTTACGTGGTTCTGGCATCGTTATGCATCACAGCATCTCTGAGGCCATCGATAGAAGGGGGTTTCTATTTCCTCATCTTCTTGGGAGCTTCGACCTGGTGGGCGTGCAACAAAGAGCTTCGAAAAGGCTTCGCCAGGCTGTGCAGGATCGTGATGGCAGTGGTGGTCCTTCACATCCTGTTTCTGCTCAGCTACCAGAATCAAATACCTCAAGAATTAATACCCGTGAACAGCACTTGGCAACGATACCTTGCCCTGATTCCTGTCTATCAAATGAACTGCTCCAATCCAAGATACGTGGAGTACACCAATGATACCGATTGGCTGATTTACGGATACTCCCTGAGACTGTTCTGGCTTTATTCGTTTTGGCGTTGCAATCACAGTTCCTGAGCAAAAAGCCGGTGAGTTTATCGTTAGTGTATTTTTTTGCTAATATTGGGAATATTTTAAAGTCGAGATAAACGCGAACTAATTACTCGATCGAATCAAAATTAAACGATTAAACGATAGAATGTAACGGAAGATTAATAAGGCGAGGATTTATTAATTGGTATAACGAAGATAACCGTTTCGTAGAATTAAAATTTTAAATAATTCAACTGTGAAGTTTGAAATATCCGTTGAAATATTTAGAATATTCAGAAGCTATCGATAATAATAATAATTTATTTGCAATTTAATTGAAATTTTATCCAAGCACGAATCATTTTAACGATGCAAGTCGCGTGCAATGTGCCTGTTAATGTGACTTAATTAACCTTCTTACGGTTAAGGAAAATGATTAACACACCGATATATCAGCTGAATAACACGACTTAAGCTTGTAACAATCTATTTTTACTAACTGTTCGAACAACAAGTGTATCTGGTAACACACGTGTCTTTCTTTGAAGAACGTTGCTTTTACTAACGAGGCGTTCCAGGCAAAGAAAGTGAAACGTTTGAGCGGAAAACTGGAGAACCTGAACACTCCGTTGTCCAGGCACGTTTCCATCAGGAGAAGGACACCATCTCAAAGATGGCAATCGGCGCGACGAAAGGCTCGCGTAAGGATCTCGTCGTCCTGCATGAGCCGAATTTTCTTTTCTTCTTCTTCTTCTTTTTCTTCTTCTTCTTCTTCTTCTTCTTCTTTCTTTCTAATCACATTTTTAGATTTTGGATTGTACATACAATTTATCATCGATTTTATTTCACGTTATTGAACATCGGTACGATCATACATATGTGCCATCGCTCATTTATCATGGCAAAAGAGAGAGAAAAAAAAAAATGTAAATCATTATGCCATCACTAACTTATCATTAGGCAAAAGAAAAATGTATATATCATTATGGAATGTACATACAGTAACCATATCGTGAAATTAATAATTTACATTATCTATTTATTTATTTATTTTATTTTTTGATTGGCGAAGGCGATAAAAATTATGGAAGAAGAAGGTATAATAAATTTATGTTAAGATCATTTTGTTTTCCGCCGCCTCTATTCAGACAACTCCCGAGTTTTTATTTACTATCGCCTTCCAGATTTGCGGTTGTTCTTTAATGCTGAGCAAATTCCTTTTCCATTTGGATGCCGCTATGTTTAGTTTGCCATTGTTTTAGAAGCCGATCGTTAATTCATCGTTCTCACCTGTCGACGAGCGCACACCCGTACGTATAATGATTAAGTTTGCACGTTTCACTTATATACAGAAATTTAATTTATTTAATTTAATTTTATTTCTCTTCACGATCAATTTTGCTTTTATTCTTATTCAAACACATTCTTTTTCCTTTGTTTATATATATATTTTTTTTCTTTTTTCTTTTCCTTTTTTTGTTTTTTTTTTTTTTATTTTAAATAATCGATACGTATTTTGGAAATCATTATGGTAACTATTGGTGAAGGTATATAAATCCACTTCGTTTACACACACAGCATGCATGCACACGCTTGAAACACGAGATTTTGTTTCACGAACAATATATATTTGATTCAAATTTAAATTGTTTAGAATAGATAATCAGAATAAATCAGAATAAAAATTAAGATTATTAAGTGAAAAGAGATGATAAAAAAAACGCTATGTAGAGATATGTTCGAAATGTTTGTTTTTACATTCGGAGAATAGTTTAGTTAATTTTATCGATAGTTGATGCGATTTGGGTCCGGGAGAACGGGGCTACTACAAGATTCAACCGGAAGCGTCATCGTTCAGGATGGCCATCAGGATGACAATATTCAGATGCAAAGTCTCAGCGATGGTTCGTTATTTAAATTAGCTTCCATTAAGTATAAAAATAAAATAAAATTTATCAATCGATTAAATATTTTTCTAGCTGGCGCAGATGAGCAATCTGGAGTTATCGAGCATATCATCATGGCCGTATACTCGATCTTCCAGTTGATAATTAAGTCGTCTTATCTTGCCACGAATATCATAATGATGGTAAAAATTAACAAGCCAAATTTTTTAATAAATTTCTAATAAAATTCTTTGAAACTTTTGAAATTATTTTAATTTCTTTCTCGCCTATTATTATTAGACGTGGAGTATAATGTATCACAGTTGGACAACCTTTGCACTCTTATTATGGGCATTGATCCTTTGGATGGTACCTAATAAAGGCGCTTTGATGATGAAGTGCTCTCCTTTCATCGCTTTTTACTCAATGCTCCTTGTCATCGTGCAATACGTTTATAGCATGGATTTGACCGAAGAAGAATTACCAACGCAAATAAACGGGATAAAAGTGTCAGAGATCGGTTTCATCAAAACTGATCAGCTAAGTTGCTGGCATCTAGTGGTCAAAGTAAAAGAAAAAAAAAGAAATAATTTCCAAATTCATTTATATTATCTAATTTATATAAAACGTGCATCACCCTATTTTCAAAACGTTTCAACAATTAATTTTCAGTGTCTATTCCTATCGATATTCTGGATTACCATGAGACAATACATGGTCGAAAGATCCAGGCAGAGACGTTCCTCGGCATTGAGAGACATGGTGGCACCATTGCACGTGTCTGTTTCGACAGCTACCACAGCGATGAATCACGAAGCACCTGAAATTAAAAGCAAATTCATGCTGGATGTCGGTATACTTTTGAAAAGATTGTTGACCAAGTTTTGGATCGCAGTGGTGACCATCATGCTGTTCATTTGTGGAATCACTGGTGAACGTATGACGGTGTTCAGGATCATTTACATGTCTCTCTTCCTTGTTCTAGTCATTACGTTCCAGGTACGTGGAGGGGGAAAAAAGTAGTCAAGTAGTCAGTTAAAAATAAAACTATCAAAGATTTTATTTTTAATTTTTTTCTTTCTTTCTCTCTTTCTTTCTTATAGATATCTTGGACAATTTGGAGAAAGATGATGTACCCATTCTGGCTTACAGTTATCGGTTATTCCATAATCATGCTGATTCTTGTATATACTTATCAATTTCACAATTTTCCAGAATATTGGAATTATTTGCATATCGACGAGAATTTGCAAAAAGATATCGGCTTAGAAAAATACGAGATTAAGGATCTTTTCGTTCGATTACTCACACCAACCTTCTTTGTAATTATTACGGTCCTTCAGATCCATTATTTCCACAAAGATTTCTTAGAAATGACCGATCTCGAAAAATTCGGGTTAGCATATGGAATTTCTATTGCATAAATTAACGATATTAAAAATAATTAAAAAAAAAAAAAAAAATTAGTAGAACCGAGGAACCTCAAATCGAACAACCGAGCCTTGGCCATGCACCGATTTTAGCTATACCACCATCCTCTCCAGAACAAATTTTTCTCAATGAAGAAAAACCTAAATACACGTTGAAACAGTTAAAACGTATGACGAATCGTACATTCTTTTTTTTTTCTTTTTTTAAGGAAAATTAATACGATAAAGAAATGCTGAGTTGACGAAAATTTTCAGGCATGTCTAAAATAGAATTATTAGCGTTATTTGGCGATATAATAACGCGCGTAAAAAGTGTTTATAACTACATTTGGCTCTTCTTCGAAATTCATATGCAAAAGATCATTTTTATTTCTGTGATGCTTCTCTGCGTCAACGATGTGAGTTTGAATTATATATACAAGATATAAGATATATCGGTATAAATTTATCTAAATTTTATTTCAATAAAATAAAATTCGTTATATTCCAGGTCTGTGCTATTAATTTAATATTCGTATTGATATCGGTTATAATGATCAATTTTCGAAGAAACATTCAAATATGCACCGTGAATATAATAGCGGCGATAATCGGTATTTTAATGGTTGGAAAAATGCTGTATCAAATTCAATATATCAATCACAGCAATTGGAATATTAATTGCACGGTAAGTATGAACATTTGCATGTATAATCGATCTAATTTTTCAGGAAAAATATTTATCCTTTACAGGTATTTCCAGAGAATCAGCGATATAGCAGCAATAACACGATGTACAACATAGCAGAATGGTTTGGACTAAAGAAAGCCGAGCCAGGAAATCTGGCGGAATTATTGAAAGGCTACATAGGAATCATAGTGGTGACCACTCTAAGAAAGATAATTAGAATTCGACAATGTTTCTACAGAAAAGCACGAGGAGAACCTTTGGACAGGCCTTATGTCATGTTCCCCTCGATCACCAGACAAAACGCTGACGAAGGGATATTGGAATGCTTGAAATTCCTTTTCAATTACGCATTCTACAAGTTTGGCGTCGAATTCTGTTTGATAGGAATCGTGGCGCTTATCGCTACCAGACTCGATTTCTATTCGGTCCTCTATGGCATTTGGCTTTTAATATTGTTCTGTCTGAGGAGAAAAACTTTATCAAAAATTTGGCCCTTCTTCAAGATTTTCATTATAATTCTCCTACCTATTCAATATGCTTTCGTCGTTGCACCTCCCCCGTGGCTTTGCATAGGTGATTAATTTCTAATTCCAAGTAATTAGAAATTTCAAACAAATTCCATCTAGAGATTAAAGTCAGAGTGATTTTTTCCTTAATTTTTTAGATTACCCATGGGAAAAATCCAGAATTTTGAGGGTATTACAGGAATGGATGTATCTGCCGGATCCTGATTTTCCACCTAATGCTAGGAAATTAATATGTAAGACTGCTATATAATGGAAAAAAAAAAAAAAATATTGATTTATCTCTTAATAAGGGTATGATTTTTATTTTTTAAAATATAGGTGATTTTTTGCTATTAATGATGATCGTCAGGCAAAGTCTCGTTTTCAAAATCGAAAAGCGATGCGAGGCAACTGGCGAAGAGTTTCCAGCCGGTCACAATTATTCCGTGTACGAAAACATAGAGAAACCAAATTTCGTGAATCCTGTGAAGGATTTCGTGTCTCATGCTCACACTTATTTAGATATAGTGAAACGTGCCGTGTTGATAAGTTTGATGTGGATCGCTTTATCGATCGTGTTCCTGGCTGGAACAGAGAGGACTAATCTGTTCTCGTTGGGTTATTTGATCGGTGCATTCGTGTTCCTCTGGCAAGGAAGTGACTTTTACTTGAGGCCAGTGCAGACGATTTTAACGTGGTGGCATTTGTTGATCGGTTACAACGTGATCGTCATATTCTGCAAGTCTCTGTTTCAGGGTATCGGTTGCGTGATGATAGAGCAGGTAATAATCTCGTTTATCACTTTCTGCGAAAAAAAGTTTTATTAAATATATTGACTCGAACGAATAAAATATCGAAATTTTTAGATGCAAATGATAGCGTGTCCATTCATTCAATTGTTCGGCATAGTTTGTGTAAGAAAATTCAAAAGTCCGATCACAGATTTGGTCCCGGAAAAATTGGATTGCGACGTGCCTGAGGAGGACATAGGCATGATCTGGGACGGCTTGTGTTTCACCTTCCTGTTATTCCAAAAACGATTGTTCAAAAGCTATTACTTCTTCCACATAGTCAACGAAACGAAAGCTATGAGCATCCTGGCATCGAGGGGCGCGGAATTATTGGAAGAGTTGCATCAGAAACGCATCGAGATCCAAGAGAACGTCGAGAAGAACGTGTTGCAAAAGTTGAAATTCAAGATGGACAAGATCAAGGAAAACCAGAGGAAAATTCAAGGCCCCAGTTACAGGGAGCCAGAGATACACGCAGTTGGTAAGAATCATTTCAACGGTTCCTAATTATCTTTCTTCAAAAGTATATAGGACGATCAGATTGACGGGATGAAATTTGTCCTACAATAATCCTTGCTCGATACTTGAAATTCTCTTTACCTCCCTTCCTTACTCTCAACCAACGTATACCAACCCCGTACACGCATAACAAACAAGAAGAAACAGCTTGAATCTCGATTCATCTCTATAACTGTTCTCTGTATTTGATGCACGCGAAAAAAAAAGAAGGAGAGGCGCCTCTGGCGAGGTCTTCCAGCGTAAGCTCGTGCGTCTCTTCCGGTCACACCCCTCCTCAAGGTTATCAGACGCCTGTCGACGAGGACGCGGAGGACGAGCCACCCCCGTTGACACCACGAGCCGCCTCTCTATTGCAAGCGCCCACGCCCAATTCCGCCGTGATGACGGTCAGCCTCGAGGGTTATCTCGAGCCGACCCGTATTTCTTTCGGTTCCCCGCCGAGTAGCGAGTTGAATCCACGTGGACCGTCGCCGGACGAGACCTTCCCCGTGTTCTCGCCACCGCCGTACGATAGAAGGGCGCACGATCGATCGCTCACCTCGTCGATCAGACGTCACCGGCGTCAGTCGAGCTTCGTCGGGCCGCCATGGATGAACGGGTTGCAGACACCGAGGCAGTCGATCGTCTCGACCGCATCTCGTTCCCCGCAATCTCATCACACATGTAACGACACAAGATCGGGAACAAGATCATCGTCGTCGATCCGCTACGATGTCCTGTACATACGCTTCCGCGAAAGCACCTATAGATCTCTCATCTATCTCAAGCACCCATATCTTTTCTTTTCGTTTTCTTTCCCGTTATTGTTCTTTCTCGATGGTTTTTCTTCTTTTTTTTTTCTCACGATTCTTGAGGAGTATCTTTTTTTCTTTTTTTTTCCTTGATTTTTTTGTAGAAAATTACGTTACGTTATGCGTCTCCTCCGAGAAGACGAATTTAGTTGGAAAAATAATTCTTCGATAGTTTTTGATTCTTGATATTTTTGATTTTTATATGTTGATTTTTCGATGTTTAGAATGTGTTCGATCGATTCATTTTCACATTGGAAATTTTCTCCTCTGTTTCTTCTTTTTTTCGTTCTGTTTCGAGAATTTTTCTATCTTTCTGTTACCGCTTCCGTCGAGTTTTCGATCGATCTCTGTTAAATGTGTCGTTTTAGATCCGTTTCTTAATCTCGTTTTAGATGTACATAATTGAACCACTATTACCACGCTCGTGTAACTCGATTATGAACGTAAGTTTGTAACCTTTGCTTTCGCATTCGAACATTCGCATTTTTCCCATTCCATTTTTCCATTTTCTCACAATTGATTTTACCTCTTACCTTGTATAAGGAGGGAAAATTTATTAAATCTATTATTAATTGAGATCCAAAAAAGAAGAAAATCCGTTTATCTCTCTTGACAGATCGTCCTGTATCCCACCGATCGTGACGGCCGAGGAATCGAGATGCCGAATATGATTATTACGTGTAATATAAATATTGTATATTATTGTAAGATAGATATCTATATCCAACTGTGTGCAGACGAGTGTTCCACATCGTTTTCAGTTTTTTACATATACCTCTTTGTGTTTTTTCTTTCCGGTTAGATACTCTCTATCCAAGGACACGGCCGTTGTACAGAGTTCGCGCGCCAAAGACCAACAAAGAGGGTAAATGAAAATTATTATTTTCTTTTCCGCAGCTTATCTGGGCTTTTTGTCCATACCAACTGGATATTTGTCCAACACCCCATCCCCCCTAATGACTAACTATCCTTGTGCTTTTACAGAACTTCACACTGTACATATTATAATATGAAACATGTGTCACACGAAGTTCTAATTATGTATAGCATATACCAAAGATGGTGGCGGGTGCATCTTTATATCTATAACGCGTGTGTCTTCGTGGATTGTACTAACGATTTATCTAAATAACGTGACGGATGTTTTTTAATTAATAGTAATTCTTGTGGAGTAATTTTTACGATCTTCTTTAAGCACAACTCGTTAAAGTTAAGTTGTTGAACGAAATATCGTAGCATGGCTTTGGCATAAAAAAATATATATATATATATATATTTATTTATATGTAATGTAAGGTATGAGGGTAAGATGGATTTTTTTCAATCCAAAGTTATTAAAAACGATTTTTTTTTTTTTTTTTTTTTTTTTTTTTCTTTTTGATCAGCTATTAGATCGGGTGACTATTATATGTTCGACGATCTGGACGACGACGATGTCACTGACATGATCCCGGACACCGAGTCCGAGAAGAGGGAAGCGGAGAAACGTCGCGAGTTGGAGCAACGCGGAAGAAGAATGACCATTTCCGAGGTACGTCGATTTTTGCACAAATCGGAACGCTATTGAACTGAATTTGAACGTTATCTATTCTTTTAGAGGGTTTATACGATAAGAATCTCTGGTTTGTCTGCTATGAATTTTTCAATCTGAAAGTTTGACTAATGCGAAGAATGCTTGATCCACTGAGAAATTCTGCGAAACGAAAATTCCCCGACATGTTGTTTTACATATAGTGTATACCATCGAAACTATCGAGAAACAATATTTTTTATTTTTTATTTTTTTTTTAATTTCTCCCATCTCTCACTTATCGATTTGGTTAATTTACTTCAGTTAACTTTGTTAACTTATTTGTCATTCAGGTTAACTCAGTTAACTACTTATAATATATTCTACACTCACCCTCGTTTCCTCAATCTATCAGATGGATCATCGGATCATGGCCAAAGGTTGACTTTGTTCTCCTTTGTGTGTGCATTAAATTCTTGCATTTTATTCTATCGATCCCCACCCGCTGAACCCTCGCCTCCCCCTCCCCGTCGTATAAAAGTAGTCGGTCCTTTCTCCCCCCCCCCGACCGCCCCCATCCCCCCCACCCCCACCCCAGAATTTTCACTATTTTCACGATTTTCACAATTTACACTATTATCCTTGGCCCGTCGAGGAGATCATCAGACAGCAGACAACAATATACAGAAAGAAGGCAATACGGTATTGCATGGAGTGAAAAATGACTCAAAAGTCTGGTCCCCTTGCAGTTGATGAACACGCTGATTAAGACAGACATTGAGATCGCGACGCACGTCGCCCTGTACGGAGGGACTGAAAAGGACGCGCTGAGACTACGTCGTCGGAGCGAGCCTTTAACAAGGAAGAAATCGTCTATGTCGTATCTCAGTGCACGTTCCGAGACCGCAGTGGCCACCGATGTGAGACCCCCCTTAAAAGGCTGCATGTCACTGCTACAGGCTCTCTTTTTCTTACCTTTCCATCATCTTTTCCTTGTATTCATTTTTTTATTTGTATTTTTTGTTTTCTTTTTTTTTTCTTCTTCTTCTTCTTCTTTTCTCTTTTTCGTTTCTCTCTTTTCCATTCTTACATACATATATATATATATATATAGCCTTCTCCATTTCAACGTCGTTTAATCTCTCTGATTAATAATTCTTTCTTTTCTTCTCTTCTTCTTCTTCTTTCTCTTCTTCTTTTTCTTCTTCTTCCTCTCTGTAATTATCGTTGTATCATTGTTTCCTAATATCGTCGATCATCAGTGTCTTCTATAATAATTTATTATCTGTGAATAAATTCTTATCAGCTTTCGTTGTACTATACTCATTACATTTTTCTCTATTCTTGACATTTATTTATATATTTTTGATATATATATTTGACATAGATATATATATATATATATTTTTTTCTTTTTCGTTTTATCATCTCATTTACATTGAATACGATTTAAATATTAATTTAAAAGATTATTTATTCAGATTATTAATTTAGTCAGCTACGCAAAACTCACATTTTCTAACACGTTTTTAACATAATAATACACGAGATAATACAGCCACACAGCAAACCAGCGAGTAATAGCGATATTAATTATATTGTATAAATATTTATATTATATTTTGCTAGTATTATTACAGTGCTTCGACCGTGTAATTATTCTTCTTTTTCTCTTTTCGCATCTTACAGCTTTGTAAAGAAAAAAAAAGAAAAAAAAAAAAAAAAAGAAAAAAAGATAATGACGGAAGCGGTGGCGTACCATTTACGTCGATTCTCGTTTTTTTTTTTTATGTTTTTTATGTCATTCTTTTTAATGTTGTAGTCGCAGGAGGCTCCTCATCGTTGGTGTATATAATCTGCCGCTCGATTACTTGGCTTAATTTGTTTTCATTACGTTTACAGCGACTGTAGCACCGTAATCTCACGCTTTTAATATCTTAACAATAATCCTTGATGTCGATCGATCGCATACGCTGAATTTGAATCATCATTGTCGTCAAATCATAATCGTGATCACAGAGAAATTTGTAATAGTTAGGGATCTGAATGATTATCGAACAGTTAAAAATCATTCGATGAATTAATTGATCTTCAAATTCGGCGTAGCAAAATGTACGACGATTTCGGGATAGATTAATAATATAAATGATTCGATTTTCCTAATTGAAATTAGGCTGCTGATGCGACATCAGCAGACGTAGAAACCGAAGAGAAGGATGTATCCACGGAGGAACGTGAGAAGACACCGGAAGTGTTGGACGTTGAAGAAGATAAAAGGGACGAAAAGGATATACCAACGAAGCAAGAAAGAATATCGATCGCGACGTATTTCAAGTTTCTCATAGTAATAATTAATAGCACCTTCATATCGATGACAAGATACCTGAATCGATTTTCACGGGATTACAGATACATTCGAAAAGTTTTAACGAAAGAGAAAAAATTATTGAAGGTAAACAGGATACCATTTATAAACGAATTATTAATCCATAATTCCGTGAATTATCCTCTCTTCGTTTTTTTTTACTTTCTTTTTTTTTTTTTTTTTTTTTTTTTTACAGGCAAAGCCAGATCTACAAATGGGGATGCGACTTGGTATCAATCAAATGTGGCAGCCAATAAATTTTCTGAAAAAAGAGTAAGATAAATAAGATAGATTTTAATTTAAAAAAAAACACACACGCACACACACATTTCTTTACCTTTCTAGCTTGTTTAAATATTTGTTAGAAGACGCCTGATTATATCTTATCGTAGAGAAAGAATTTATTTTCTACGTTTCACAATAAGAATTCAGTGACGACTTTAAGGATTCGATTCGATGTTAGATCGTTTATTTTCTTGTAAACTCTTCTGTATATCCCACATTTGACATTTTAGAGCTTTAGTAGTATTGCGCTTGCCCCAAATATTCGCTTCTTCTCGATAGAATCATTCGAAGTCCCTTACGAAAAAAAAAAAAAAAAAGAAAGGTAGATCATATGTTCTCCCGCTATTTAAAGTAGATATTGTAGAAGTTAGAGTAGTAAATGTGCTCGACCTGACAGATCGACTAATGGAAATACCGAGGAAATTCACGATGCTGGTGAAGGTCCTAGCCAACCACGGCCGCAAGAACGGAGGTAAGAGTTGAAAATCAGAAAATATGCTTCATATGCTTTTTTAAATGTCGAATAAAACTTGTCTGAAATAAATGATATAATTTAATCGCAATTAACATTTTCATACTACTGCCGAATAAATTCTGTTTAGAGAAAAAAGAAGAATCTTCCATTTAGAATTCATTAATTAATAAACTCTATTTAAATGATTTTCTTCAAAATGTTTTTCATCCGCATTTATCATAGCTTAATGTAAATGTAATTTGAAGTAAATGTAGACAGAGAAAAAGTGTTATTTTCAATGGGAAAAGCAGCACACTGACGATCCTTTATATTCGAATTCCGGCACCGAGTTTGGAGCGAGGATTGGACATATCCTCCTCCAGGTATCGAGAGTATTTTTTAAAATCCATGATTGTCAAACTATTGTCTCCATTCTCACTCAATATTCAATGTTGAACGCCTTCTCTGCAACATTCTTTGCGAGCAGCACGTTTACATTATAATTTCTTCTGCTCTCTCTACGAATTTTCAATAGTTGAATGGTTAGTTATTCTATTATCGTAAAGATGAATATTATAATTGTATTGTGAATTTTTCATATTTCCAAAAAATCGTATATCACTTTTTATTCGATATTAATATTACAGGTTTTATGCGCTTTATACGTGCTTTGGTAAAAGAATTCTCTTCTGCGAATTTATATTATGATTATCATTAAGATATATCATATTTTCAATATGACTGATAATAAATTTTTATTTCCATAGCACACTTTTCTCCGAGATTTCGCCTGTTCAACACGATGATGACCGTGATGAATTATCAGAAGCCGACCAACCACCAATTATACAATTCTTGGCGTCTATTTGGTTTGCAATTTTGTCGCATTCGTCTCTATTTTGTTACTTCATGGTATTCCTTCATCAAATTAAAAATGCATCTGTTCTTTCCACCCCTCTACCTCTCATGGTATTCTTCTGGGGTTCGTTAACCATCCCTCGACCCTCGAAAACGTTTTGGATAACGTTGATCGCGTACACCGAGGTGAAATATTATTTATCATTCGTAGTAATTTTTCAAAAGTTGACCGATTAATTATAATTAATTTTTTTTTTTTTTAGGCAATTGTCATAGTGAAGTGCATTTTTCAATTGGAAGTATTGCCCTGGAATCGAGATTCTGCACTCAATAATCTGCACCCTCTCTTCACCCCTAGGATTATGGGGGTTGAACGCAAATTTAATTATGCTCTGTGGGACTTATTATTGCTGCTCGTGGTATTCTTCCACAGGTAAAGTGTACAAATTCAATATCTAATCTTTCTAATCAAAATCGTTTCTTCACTCATGCGAAAATCGAACAAATATATAATTTTTAGATTTATGCTGAAATCATTGGGTCAATGGACATCTTTGTCTTTGAAACCAAGAAAAATTATTCCTTCGACTTTGACCATAGTTCCATCTAAACCACCACTACCCGAAAGAGGCCAAGGAGAGCCTGTAACATTACGAAACGAAACGAGGTACGTTAATTTTTTATTTTATGAACTTGGAAATATTTTTTTTTTTTTTTATTAATTTTTACCAATAATTTTTTTTTTTAAAGGGATAGCATTCGGCCGACGACGCCTAAGGGAAGAATTCTGAACCTTCAACCTGCAGTGATTGATGGTGAAAGTGTGCGAGTCAGTGATGAGTACGAGCAACTTGTCGCGGTTCAAGGGGAAGAAATCAGTCCTATGGAGGAAGAGTTTAACAAAGTTATGAAATTAACGTAAATAGATAGTTTTTCATTTAATAGAAGTTTTACATTTAATATTTATTTAAATAGTACGATCTTTTTATTTTCAGGGCCATCAAGTATATAGAACCAATAAAACATTTTTTCCGTAAAATCATCAGCCCATATGGAAAAGAAAAGACGAACGTATACGCGTACATGTTCCTCTGCGACTTTTTTAACTTTTTGCTGTTCATTTTTGGATTTTCTGCGTTTGGAGTGAATAATTTTTCCAAAAAACTTTACTTTCCTCAAGTTTTGATTACAATTGTCCTTCTTTAATCGCGATATCTATTAATTTTTTTAGACGCAACAAGGTGATGGCGGTGTCGCAGCTTATTTGCAAGAAAATAGAGTCCCGATGCCGTTTCTATTGATGCTGCTATTACAATTCTCGTTGATAATTATCGATAGAGCCTTGTTTTTAAAGAAATCGATCTTAGGCAAACTAATTTTCCATTACTTCCTAACAATTGCCATTCACATTTGGATGTTCTTCATTTTGCCAAGTGTAACTGAAAGGTTTCGTATGATTCTTTGTATCGTATAAAAATTCCATTTCGAATATTTAATTAAAAATAATCCGTAGACGATTCAACGAGAGGCTTCCGCCGCAAATTTGGTACATGGTCAAGTGTTTCTACCTCTTATTATCAGCCTATCAATTAAGACAAGGCTATCCGACGAGAATACTTGGTAATTTCCTGTGCAAGAATTACAGTATTGTCAACTACGTTTTATTCAAAGGGTTAGAATATTTTCCTTGATCCACTCCGTTCCCATCCCCATTCGTTTCGAACGAATAATTTATTTATAATTCCTTCATAGATTCATGTTGGTCCCATTCTTGTTCGAGTTGAGAGCAGTAATGGATTGGATATGGACGGATACTTCCATGACAATAATGGACTGGTTCAAAATGGAAGATATCTTCGCCAACATTTATCAAATCAAGGTAGCGTTGTGCAATATATAAATTATCAATAAAATACTAGAAAAAAAAAAAAAGGAAAAATTCAAAAATTCGAATTATAGTGTATGCGAGGGTTGGAAACAGATTGGCCTCAACCACGAGGCGAGAAAAAGGGTCAGATAAGCAAATATTTAATGGGTGGTGCTGCTCTCTTTTTCATGATCGGATTAATATGGTTCCCTTTGCTCTTATTCGCCCTCGGTGGCACCGTCGGCATCTCCAATCTGCCATACGACGTTTCCATGAAAATTAGAATCGGCTCTCACGAGCCCATTTACTCCATGTCGGCGCAAGGCCAATCCATCATGGAATACAGCGAAGTCGATTACACGATATTGACCAATTTGTACGCGAGAGAAAAAGCTGCCGTCATTTTTCTCGAGAACTATGTACATTCTGATGTTGCCGCTGTGAGATTGAGCGGATTCTCTAGAAAATTATGGAATATATCCCCGCCAGATATGGAAATGTACGTTGAAAATTATTTTTATTTCTCTTCAAGTTAAGGATGAAAAACTTTATTGTTAACTTTATTTCCTTATATCTTTCTTGTAATATGCGATACAATTGATTTTTTTAAATATTAATATTATTACGTAAATATTATTCTTACGTCAGATTGATAGCGGAATTAAAAGATAATGAAACAACCGTCATTGTTCACGTGGAGTGGACGGTGTCTCGGAAGACAGACGTGAAAGACGCGACTGGAATAACCACGACGGTTCGAGACATAAAATTGAAACCGTATGAAAACAATGAATTTAATCCCGTGAGAGAAACGCTAGCCAATATACTTTCCAACTTAACGGTCCCCCATAATAGCACTATCATATTGCCGTATGCTTTTCCAAAATTTCTGAAAGTAACCGGTCGAACCACCACCATCGTTCCACAATTAATGATGCGTAAGTTTGACGATCCAAAAGAAACGAGAGGAATGAAACGAAGACAAATCATAAAGCGGATGTTTCATATTGCATACGAAATTAATTTTCAGCGAAATGGATGGATGAGAAAATAGTAAACGATAATCATCTGTATAGAAACATTAGTCTCTTTTTATCTTCGGAACCGGATTGTTGCTCGCATAAAAAATGGTGGATTGTTAACGAAGTCTGTAACGACACTTTGTACGAACGTTTATTAAGCAGAGTGCCTCTAAACGATTGCAAATACATCATGATGTATTTGTTCAACGATAAAACGTTCCCCGAAGGATTGAGTTTTATCAGTGGATTAGGGTACGTTTATTTCGAATTGTATATATATATATATATATGATTAGATTAAATATTTACAACTTATTTGATCCCTGTACGTTTCTGTAGAATCTTAGGTTTGTACACTACAGCGGTAATAGTCATAAGCCAAATGACCAGGAAGGTGGTCAGTGACATGGCGCCAAGAATTATGTTCGATGATCTGCCCTACGTTGATAGGATACTTCGATTATGCTTGGATATTTATTTGGTCCGTGAAAGTGGAGAATTGAGTCTCGAGGAAGATTTGTTTGCCAAATTAATATTCCTTTATAGATCACCAGAGACGTTGATCAGGTTGCTGTTAAATTAAATTATCGTTACATATATATAATAAAAAAAAAAAAAAGTAGTTATCGAATTTTCAGGACGCGATATCACGAAAACAAATTTTTTTCATGTTCAGGTGGACAAGGCCTCCCGAGGAAGGGGAGAGGACTGATAACGAAGATCAAGATGAGGACGTGGATGAGGATGCTGCGATATCTCGTGAAGTATCTCAGCAATAAATTGTCGAACGTTTATAAGGATATAAATGTTGCTACGAACGAAACAATATTTGGCCTGTTCTTTGGCCAAAGAACTTTTGTTGAGTCAAAGATTTTGAATATTTTATCACTTGCGCGAAGTGAATTCATTATCAGTAATTTCGAATAGTTTCGGATAAGACAATAGTTCGCGCACTTATTGCGAAAGTGACGCGAAGAACGATTCGAAAAATTCGAAAAACTCAGGAATTTATTATAACCATTGTTTATTGTTAAAGAATTGATTAACGAAGATCGTTCCTATCTTCGAATATATTATATATTATAAAGATATGTATATACGCAAGTAATGCAGAGAGGAAATTTAATTATAATTAGAACAAACGGGAGACATGAAAATTTGAGAAAAGGATACATTATACGATAGAATTATTTATTTCTTAATCGTACTTTTTAAGCAAAACTAAGGTTTTACTAATTTTTATTTTAATATTTATAGGATAAGGAATTTAATATTAATAATATTTATCGCTTTATCGTATTCATATTTTAAAATATGAAAAATTGTGATTACGAGATATCATTAATTCAATTTGAAAGAAATGCTTTATAAAATTAAGCATCTATGAATAAGTTTGTTACAGCACGTGCAGGATAGTGGTTTATTTTTATCTCGAATTTATTACAATTCAGGCCTAAACCGAGTTGTATTTCTAGCATTTAAATTACATCTTCATAGGTAAGAAGTTAAACTCTTTACTATTAAAACTATTAAAAGTTAGAATTCCCGATACTGCCGATAGCAAGATCTTTCGTTCTCTTTTATACGTTTTTCTAATCGTCAATTCATCCAGCTATCATAAGTAATTATCTGGCCATTTTGCCAAGCCTCAAGTATATTTTATATATTTAAAAATATTCGAAGAAAATCTTGACATCCTAAGAATTATCATTATTTGTAAATATGCATTGTACGATGTGCATCTTTGTCAAAATATTGTATCATGTCGCCTTAATATGCCTTTTAAGAGTATCTTCGAATATATATGAATTGTTTCAAACGAATGTGGCATAATTTATTTATTAAATTTTTACTATAAGAAATGTATAGTACATAGAGAATGTCATTGTAAAATATTTTATTGAATATTTCTTTACAAAGGAAGATTTACAATTTTTATTTTTATTTTTCAGTTCAATAAAGATATCAACTACAAATCAGCATAGAATATGTTATAACAAGGAATACATATTAAATGCAGCTTATACATTTAAACCGCATAACATAGTTTTATTTTCTTAAATCTTTCTAAAAAAATATTAGTAAAAATGTTAAAAAATATATCATCTCGTTAATATCAGCACGCATATTATCACTTTTCACTCAAGATATGTAATAATGAGAAAAATATTATATAACTAAAAGATGTGCAAAATTTTATATTCCGATAATTAACTTGTATATTAATATTAAACGGAAAGTTATAGAGTAAGCAATATTGTGCAAATCACGTATTTTCCAAAACACGTAGATAAATCAACAACAGCATAATTATCTTTATGCAATATTTTATTTCACATAAAGAATATCCAGATTTAATCAAGCGGATATTTTTATATTTACGAAGAAAATATAAGTGATTCTATCTAAGGAAAATGTAAGTGATTCTACGAGGAAAATAAAAGTGATTCTACGAAGGAAATGTAAGTGATTGGAAAATCCACTGTTTTGACTTATGATTTTTAATTTTATATGTAATATGGAATTATAATATGGAAAAAAAATACAATAAAATCGAATCATAAGGGAATATGACGATCGCAATAAGTTCGATATCGATGTATCGATTGTTCACTATATCGCAAAATTTACGAAAGATCTTTTTTTTAAAATTCCATATACTTTTTTTTATGTATATATTATGTGTATATATATTTTTTAATTTTGAGAATTTTGCAAATCTGTTCATTTCATATAGTTAACATATCGATAACTGATAATTAATAATAATATATTAATAATATTTGATAATTAGAGCATAACAACAACAGTGGAATGATACTTTTCATGGACAAATTCTGAATACACAGAATCAGAAAAGTGTACATTTTTGCTATTGTTTAGACAATTCCTTACATTTCAATTTCAATGCAATATTTTCCTGTTTTAAGAATTCAAACTCTTCCATCTTCTTGTTAAGTTCTTCATTTCTTTTTTGTAACATAACAATATCCTCTTGTAATCTTTCATTTTGTGCAATTAGACTTTTCACTCTATTTGACTCTTTACTAGGATGCATTTCATTAATTATATCATCTGTTTGACACAACAAGTGTTTAATGAGATTTGCTTGAGAATTAATATGCAATTCTTGCATTGCTTTTAAAATTTTTGTGCTTTCCTGTTTTGTGCACATACTGACAATATCCTTAATGGCATTAAGGAGTGCAACAGGATCAATTTCTTTGGATTCTACTTTTCTAACATCATGCGTTTTTGTTTTTTCTTTAGGAGCTTCCACTTGAGAAGTTCCTTCTTTTGAATAATCTGGAGGCCTATTATTTTCCTTAGCAAATACATCTGAGGTTTGGACATTTTCCTTACTACTTCCAGAACGACGTACTTTATCTTTTACTATTACTTTGCTTTCAGAAATTCTTGTCCTTAATTCTTTATTCTTTGTTTTACTCTCGTCTTGAACTTCTTGTTCTTTTCCATCATTCTTCACCTTATTCTCAATTGGTTTCAATTTTGATTCAATAGGTTTATCTTTTCTTTCAGATGTTTTTATTCTTATTTGTTGTTTTTTTGTATCATGTTCAGACAATTTTTTTATGTCTCTTGTATTTAATTCTTTTTTAGGTTGTTTTTCAGATTGCACATTCTCTCCCCTATTTGGTCGCAATTGTTGCAAAGGAGAAGATGTTGCATTCCTTGTTGTTATATGACGATCTACTGAATAAGCATTTACAGTTTTAACATCAGTAGATACTAATTCCAAATCTTCTAGGAAAGAATCATTCATATTTCTTTAATTTCTTTTATTTTAACAACAAATAAAATAAAATAAAACAAATTCTGTTAAAATAACAATGAAGATAATAGTGTTACTGTTTCTATTAATTTTATAAGTGAATTTTTTAGTAGATTCTTTAATATAACAATTGTTTCTTTTCACATTTGGGTCACAATACCATCAAAAAATAATACCATTAACTTTTATATTTGAATTCATTACAAAAAATCAAAGTTTTAATTATTTTGCAACTTCTTTAATGGAAAGAAGTATATAACTTTGCATAGAATAGCATTGTTTATAATGTTATTTTGGCTTAAAAATAGGAACAATTCTACATTAACCTTCAATCAAACTACGAAACACAACGTATATCTAATTCAAATCTAATTTATCTTGTATTGATATAGTCAGCTGATACGTTACTGTTTCTAAACGCCATCTATGAAAATCTAATTTCGTATTATAAAATTAATAACATTAATATCACTGTTTCTTATTTGGTTTTAATTTCGAATTAAAATTATATAAAAAAAATTTACACTTTTCTTTTTAATTTTAATTCTATACTCGTGTATTAATAAACGCTCGATATGTTTGCAGGTAATTTAGCATGTTGGCAACAATGGCGCGCCGGTATAAAAAGATTTATTTTGCGTTCAATCAAAGCACTTGTGTCCTGATAGCGTGTGATAACGGAAGTTGTTTTCTAAGAAGCCATCTTAAGTGTAATTGTGTTTTATGATTAAAACACAATGAAGAAACTCGTACTTTTACAATTTTTATTTTTTATTTCATTTGCAAGAGGATTTACAAACATTTATCCTAAACCCAAGTATTGTCCCCTTCTTCATGGAGAGGATGCTGGTACACCTCTCTTTTTAACACCACTTATAGAAAATGGTAAAATAGATGAAGCTCGTAATAAAGCTGTCGTGCAACACAAAGAAATGGATACTGTCAGCAGTTATGCTGGTTTCTTAACTGTTAATAAAAAGTATAATTCGAATATGTTCTTTTGGTTTTTCCCAGCCTTGGTAAGTAAGTAATTTCATATTTTTATTTTTTATTAAGAGAAATATAGGATGAATAAAAACATATTGAATGAAATTTTGATTATGAGAAATAAATTAAAAATATATATAAAGAAATCATGTGTAAAAAAAAAAAAGTATCTGTAGCGAGATAGAAATATTTTTGTGTAGCATGATCCAAAAACTGCTCCTGTAGTATTGTGGCTACAAGGTGGTCCTGGAGCTACATCCATGTATGGTTTATTCTTAGAAAATGGTCCATTTATAATTACTAAGAATAAAACTCTTAAAATGCGTGAATATTCTTGGAATAAATGTCATAATTTGTTATATATTGATAATCCGGTTGGTACTGGGTTCAGTTTTACTGAAGATGAGAAAGGCTATGCCACCAATGAAACACATGTGGGAAGAGATGTACATACTGCGTTAGTCCAATTTTTTGAATTATTCCCAGAACTTCAAACCAATGATTTCTATGTCACTGGAGAATCATATGGTGGAAAATATGTACCAGCAGTATCTCATGCTATTAAAGATTATAATATCAAAGCAAAGATAAAGATAAATTTAAAGGGTTTGGCAATTGGAAATGGATTGACTGATCCAGTGAATCAACTGGACTATGGAGATTATTTATACGAATTAGGTCTGCTTGATGCAAATGGCAGAGATCTATTTCACAAATATGAGGAACAGGGTAAAAATTTAATTAAACAAGAAAAATGGCTGGAAGCTTTTGATTTGTTTGATGAACTTCTTGATGGAGATATAACTCAGCAACCTTCGCTTTTTAAAAATTTAACTGGTTTTGATTATTATTTTAATTATTTGTATGAAAAAGATCTAAACAATGAATCTGATTATATGCTAGAATGGCTTCAAAGAGCAGACGTCAGGAAAGCTATACACGTTGGCAATCGCACATTTATTCCTGAATCTAAGAAAGTAGAAGCATATATGAAAGCTGATGTTATGCAATCTTTAGCAGTTCTTGTAGCAGACCTTACTCAACATTATAGAGTTCTCATATACAATGGACAACTTGATATTATTGTTGCATATCCTTTAACAGAAAATTATTTGCAAAAATTAAAATGGCCTGGTGCAGAAAAATATAAAACAGCAAAAAGGAAAATGTGGTTTGTTGGAAATGAATTAGCTGGATATTCAAAGACTATTGATAACTTGACCGAAGTTTTGGTAAGAAATGCTGGACATATGGTTCCTCTTGATCAGCCAAAATGGGCTCTTGATCTCATTACACGTTTTACACGTAATAAGAGTTTTTAAGATTATAATTTCCTAATAAAATTTACTCAATCATTTTGCCTAATTAGTCATAATAGTAATTATATTTATTACAAATGTAGAATTTAAATTTAAAATTATGATTGTTTAACAAATTGTATACTCAATAAAAATACTTTATTTTATAAAAAAAAATATTTTAATAATTAAAAAAAATATATTACATTAGATAACTTTTTTCTATTTCTACTTGTAAAATATTAAAATTTTTTTATTAAAAATAAAAAATATCTGTACTTAATTTCCATGAAAATTAATAAAGTGTAAAATTATTATAGAATTCACGTGATATGTATAAAATTTGTTATATCAAATATCATGATTCAAGAGATCTTTCTGAAGTTTTCTTTATCTTATATGGCAACAATTATCTAATCTAGAATAAGAGTATATTAATCTAAATATGGCAGTAAAAAGTCATCTACTATGGATATATTTTTATGCCATTCATAATGAGGAACATTTGGCACTGTGATGAGAACTAATCTTCCACTTTCATCTAATGTTTTCAATCCAATTAAATCATCTTTGTAAATAGTTCGATCACGCATATTTATCACAGTTTCGTTAACATCGTAATATCCGAAATGACTGCTTTGCCATGGAGTAATAACACCATCCTCAGGTCCACCAACAAGTACCATACGTTTTAATTTGGTGAGACCTTTTTTAAATGCTGACATTTTCGTCGAATTTTTTTCATTATTCACGTATGGTAAAAAATTACTATATTTATAATATAATTCCTAGAAAAGAAAAACATAGCTATAAATTGTTGACAAATAATTAAGAATAATCGTGTATACTCACTTGATGATGAGGATCATTCCAATAATTCCCAATACTGGTATGTTGTCCAATTTTTGAATAAAATAATTCATAGGCAGTTTCACACACCAAGTCGGGAAAAAATAAATGAAGAAATCGAGCTGGAATGAAATATACGATTTGAAAAATGACAATTCCTTTGTTTCCTTTCAAAGATGGCATTATGATCACTTACTTCCATATTGTCCCGCTTGTGGCGAGCTCAAGGAATAAAATTTCTGACATTGTGTTCAGGAAATGTTTGTAGTATTGCTCTGGCTAATAAACCACCTTGACTATAACCAACTAAATTTATTCCCTCGGGAAATGCAGCACCAACAGATATAACATCCATGCCTATTTCTTGTACTTGGCGCCACATTGATTCCAAGCTACTCCATCCAGCATATCTTGGAGTATTATAAATCTGTGTCCCTGGATGCATCTAAAATCGATTAATTTATGGACAATCATTATTTTAAAATGTTAAAATATTTATTAAAAATCGTGTTTACCCGCCAAACTTACATAGGTGCGACATCTGCAATACTCTTTGTTTTACATTTGAATTACTTACTTCTTGAATTCTATTACTAATAAGTTCCATACTGTCGCTTCCAGTGAGGACGCCGTGAATAACGACCACGGCATGATAACTTTCGACATAATTGTTAAATATACTTAAAAGCAAAAGAATAAAATTAAGAGCCGTATAATTCGCAGTAGCCATTGATGATAAATGACTGACACTTTCGTCAAGAGTATCGTATCGTATATTCTGTTTAAATCTTCTTTCCATTGGGACGATAAATAAAGTTTCAAGCGAGCCGCAAATAATTGATGCACATTTTGATTGGACCGGCACGACTTTTATCATTGCTGTCTGTAGTTTTGTTGAGATGGCGGCTTAAGCATGATTTTGATGACATCTCTTGCAAGAAAGGAATGGTCTATAGTTGTACTCTGTTGAAAAAGAAGAAATTTCATTTATCGGCGATGAATTTCCACATTTAATAATTATACCAAAGATTAGAATCAATTTTTATATTCTATCAATATTACAATATCTTCAAGAAAATTATAATATTTAATAGTTAATGTTTTCGCTCAAGAATAATTTTAAAGAATAATTATTATTTGAAATCTATTATCGATTAATTACAGCATTATAACAATCGATGATCAATGCTGATCGATAGACCGAAGTTAATGACTGGGAAAGAAATTCAATTGCATTCTGAAATAATCTAGTACAGTGTGCATTAGGTTCCTAATCCTTTTGCAGCTGTATGGAAGGTTGCCGGGCACGTGGCATTTCCCGTGCTTCAACCATATATCACCGTGCCGTGACATCACCCCTAGTTGGCATACGAAACTCACGTCTTAGAGGATGGATGCCTGCTGCATTGTTTCGACCGACGTCATTCTCGATTATCATTCCATGGTTCCATAATGTAAATAAACTTTTATCATCATCGAAGAACTGAAAATTATTACAATTTTACAAGATATACACATCTTTCTATTTATTTGAAATTTTTTCCTTAAATGCATGCTGGCCATTCTTTCAAGATCTTTTAAGAGGACTTAATCTTACGTAGTTGCCAAGTGACGAAATAAAAAAAGCAAAAAAATTTCAGAATACAGAGATTTTTTATCGGCAACTTAATTATCATGAAAATTCAGATATATTCATAGTCGCAAGGTATTGAAGTACTCGAACGAGAAAGGAATAGATATCCCCTTTTGTCTTAAGAAATTAGATCGTTGCGCAACAATTTAACCGGAAGAAATACCTGGAAATGAATCATGCTTACGTATTTCTGATGTCGCACACTCTGGCACTAATCGAGTCCCCAGAAGCTTTGAAACTGCCAACGTTTCTTTCTCTCGCCAAATGAGGGAACGAAGGGGAAAGAGAACGAGAAGAGAGGAAAGACGGCCAATCCAATTCCACGCTCAAACCCGACCATCGTGATGGCGGAGGGTGGCGAAAAAACGCAGCCACGCCAGAGCGCAAGGCGAGCGTAGGTCTCTCGGAGCTTTTTTGCGTTTAATCAAGGATATTCGCGGTCGGCTGACTCGCTATTTTAGTCTACCAAGTGCTAACCGAGCCGCGCGACCACCGTATCGCAGCAAGTGGATGAAGGAATCTTCGTCCTTTGACCTCTCAGGGACGCTCCTATCTGTCTTTCGTAATTCGACATGCATTTTCTCGTATTTTTCACGATATACGTCTCTAATATAATACTTTTTTTTTTCTACAGCAACAATTAATAATACATACGTAGAGAGACACACTTTCTTAGTATGGAGATTTTTATCGAAGTTTTAGAATGTTATTTACAAGGGAATTAACATTTTCACGTTTCGATAAGAAGATTATAACGATTATATCGTATCATGTGGGATTATTATTTAGTGAAAATATATTTGATTATTTTACAACGACACGACGCCGTAAAATTAAAATATTTCAGAGATGTTGCATCATCCGTGCAATGATAATTCATTTTTCTATAGGCGAAAGGTAGTAATTCAGCTTCCGGTTTTGTAAATTCAAATGTACACAAAGCGTGGGACGAATGAACAGTGCCATCGTAATATTTGCAAAAATATGCAGGCCGCTGGATATGTTTTTCATCCCCACACTGTCTTTATTCAGTTATGAGGATAAAAGGGCCAACAAAATAATTCTTCCCGCATAAAGGTGCAGAAAAAAACGAGAGAAGGCGGCATGAAACGGTAATACGAAACATCCGTTTTTCTTTAAACGGAAACTTAAATAAGAGATCAAGAAGGACACCGCGTAAAATATATAATTAAAATCGTCCGTCATAAACGTGCCGTTTAATTTTCGGTGCAAGAGTTTCTTTTTTACCGTCCGCCAAAAGGAATCATAGACACTCTCGAACTCAAGAATCGACTCGAGAGCCTGTTTAAGGCCACCCTCTGGCTCTCGGTAAGTACAGAGGCGGGAGAGAAGACGAAGTGGGTGGTACGGTGTCGGAGGAACGGCCGGGAGATTAGCGTTAATTACAGAGTTGAGCCGTTCCGGGGTTGGGACGAGTGCGAGGTATTTGTCACTCGGCACCGCTCTCGACTCCTGTTCCTCGTTCTGAATATTAATAACCCCGCGCCATCCTTCGCCACCCCTTCCTTCGTTCCACCCTCTCCACCTCCTCCTTCTCCCCTTCCTCCTCCTCGTCTCACCTCTGTCGTTTCACGACATCCGATGAATTGCGCGGCAGACAACGCTGCTCATTATGCTGACTGGTTGATTTCATCACCGTCACCGTTACGAAAAATTAATTGTCCCGCGATCGGGGTGAATAAAGATCAGCTCGCAGATTTCGCAGATCGAGGAACGATTATTTTTTTTTCTTTCTTTCTTTTTATCGAAGGCAAACATACGTTCTCCTCTTATTTTTTTTATATTATATCAGGAAATATCTGCTCAGTCAAAGACAAGCGTTCCATGGCCGTTCTTCTCCGCCTTCTCTGTCACGACGTTTCCGAAAAATTGAAGGATGGTAGCATGATCGGCACGGCGGTTAGCCCCTTCCACGTCGATCAATCGATATCATCCTATCTCGTCCTTTCTGCGGTCGGTCCCTCGATGGCGGTCCCATTCCCGCGAAAAACGTTCAGATATTCAAAGTCGGGGAATAGTTTATTCATGGCCGGCTCGGAGAACTTAGAAAGATATTGGAAGCGGCTCAGGAGAGGGTAAAAGATAGAAAAGGAGAGGGTGGATGGTGGAAAAAGCGGGCGAAGAAGCGAGAGGAGGCGAGAGAGAGGAGCGATATTGGTCGGACGGAAGTGTCCCCTCGGGGAAACGAGAAAACGGGAGGAGCGTCGTCTCTCCCCCGATCCGATAAAGCGAAAGAGGGACCCCCTTGTGGCACGACCACCACTCCTACGCGTTGACCCACGTGACAGCGAGCCCGCCAATAAAATTCAAATAAACTCCACTGTGCATACTAAATTATCACATCTTCCATTACCCGACCGCGTGTGCCCATCCCTGGAACAGCTTCCACCCCGGGGTCCCGGGGAAACGTTTTCACCATCGTGTCGAAATTCCAATATTTTTTGACTTCCATCCAAGATATGGAGCGCCGGCCGCGATGTATTCTCGAACAGAGAAGAATAAATTGGACGGGGATGGAAGAAATTTCGCGGTCTCGTGACGCGATAAACAATTAAATAACGAACAAAAATGCGTTTAAGTCCGAGGATCTTATCGTTCGCTCCGAGATATCCCGTTTAATTGATCGCCTCCTCGGCCAGAGGAGTTTAATCCGTTTTGTCGGTGTTCGG